GAAAATGATCACGGAGAAAAGACTTCAGAGAATTAATGGCACTAGCATCATTGCCTGTAATCACAATATCTTCCAAATAAATGAGCAAAGCTGTGAAAGAAATACCAGACTTTTTAGTGAACAATGAATAGTCAACTTTGGATTGTTGAAAAGCGGCAGAAATGATGGCACTAGTGAATTTGGCAAACCATTGGCGAGAAGCCTGCTTAAGACCATAAAGTGACTTGTGAAGGCGACACACAAGATTCTCCCCCTGTCGCCGAAGACCAGGAGGAGGAGACATATAGATTTCTTCATGTAAGTCACCATGTAAGAAAGCATTATTAACATCAAGCTGATGAAGAGACCAAGACTGACTAGCAGCAAGAGCAAGAAGACAACGCACCGTAATCATCTTAGCAGTAGGAGAAAAAGTGTCATGATAATCAATACCTTCAGCCTGAGTGAAGCCTTTAGCAACCAAACGAGCTTTGTAGCGGTCAATAGAGCCGTCGGAATTGTGCTTGAGTTTGTACACCCACTTACAACCAATGGAAATTTTGCCAGGGGGCAAGGAAGTTAAAGTCCAAGTACCATTAACATGTAAAGCTTGAAACTCCTCAGTCATAGCACGTTGCCAATTAGGGTCAGTGGCAGCCTCGGCAAAGGAGGAAGGCTCCACAGTCTGACTGACAGAGTTAATGTAAGAAAAATGCCTGAAAGAGTAACGGTGATAAGAGAGAAAATTACAAAGTGGATATCGCGTACCTTGTGTAGAACCGGGTTGCGAAGTCGAAGATGGGTGGGATGGCAGAATCACCTGCGAGCAAACGTAGTCTTTTAAATAGGATGGAGGTTTATGGGCACGGGAAGATGTGCGGGGAAGGGGAGGATTGGTAGGTAGTGGGGGGTAGGGATGTCCATGGGTAAAAGGGCATGGGGAGGAACGGGTAATGGGGCAGCAAGGGAATCTGTGGGAGGCGTGGAAAGGAAGGAAGGTGGAGGAGGGTGAGGCGTCGGGGCAGGAAAGGGTGGGTTATATGTAAAGTCCAGAGGGGGTGGGATGGGTAGGGTAGGCGAAGAGGATGGGATAGGAGGGTGAGAAACGGCATAAAGGAAAGTAGTTTCGTGAAAGATGACGTCTCGACTAGTGAAAATACGGTGATTGTCGAGATCGTAAAGGGTATAGGCCTTTTGTCCATGAGGATAACCGAGAAAAATGCAACGATGAGCCCGAGGGGAAAATTTGGTGGTTGGAGTGACAGAGGTGGCATATGCCAGACAACCAAAGACACGGAAGTGGTCATAAGATGGGGTTTTCGAAAAGAGAACCTCAAATGGGGATTTATGATGGAGAAGACGGGTAGGGAGACGATTGATGAGATAAGTAGCGGTAAGAACACATTCCCCCCAAAACTTGATAGGAATATGGGATTGAAAACGAAGGGCGCGAGCAGTTTCAAGAAGATGACGATGTTTTCTTTCAACAACGCCATTTTGTTGGGGGGTATAAACACAAGAAGTTTGTAAAAGCACCCCATGATCAGAGAAAAAACTACGAAGAGATAAAAATTCACCACCATTGTCAGTACGAATGCATTGGATGGTAGTGCGGAATTGGGTAGTGACATAAGCAAAAAAATCCTTAATTAATTGTTGAGTGTCGGATTTATGTTTCATGAGGAAGACCCACGTAAAGCGAGAAAAATCATCCACAATGGTTAAGAAATAATGAGCACCAGAAAGAGAAGATTGACGATTCGGGCCCCAAATATCACAATGAATTAAAGCAAAAGGGAAAGTTGATGAAATTGAACTCAAAAGAAAAGGTTGACGAGTTTGTTTTGCCAACGGACAAACATCACAAATATGACTAGAATCAAAAGTACAATTAAGAGAGCTAGATGCTAAAGCTTGCAAACGAGTGGAGGAGGGGTGACCAAGACGCCTATGCCAGAGGGAGGAGGGGATGGTAATGATGTTGCAGAGAGGTTGACGGGTGGGGAGAGAAGAGGTAAGGGCCACAAGGTAATACAGATCGCCACGTCGCTTACCCACACCAATCATCGCCTTCGAAACCAAGTCTTGCAAAACACACCAAGAAGGAAAAAAGGTTATGGAACACGATAATCCATCTGTAAGTTTACCAACCGATAAAAGGTCCACTCGGAAATTAGGGACACATAAAACATCCTTCAAAGTAACTGATGAATTTAAAGGAAGAGTGCCGGTAAAAGTAATGGGAGCGGAAGCACCACTAGGCAAAGAAACAGGCGGCAAATGTGAAGGAGAACGATTAACCAAACATGAGGCGGAAGAAGTAATATGATCCGTAGCACCACTGTCAAGAATCCATTGACCATGACGAGAGGTGACAGGTAACAAACCTTGGGCAAAATCAGTAGTGAGCACGGCATTGGCCTGAGGAGGGGTGGTGGTGTCACGTAGAGCAGCTAGAACACGGGAGTGCTGCTCAGCAGAGAGGTCAGGCATGGCAAGCTGCAAGTCATGCAAAGTGGGCTGGGCCCCGTGCACTTGGTGGGTCGCTGGAGTAGAAGAGGAGGCGGGGGCCTGGGTGCCTTGCACGTGATGGGCCTGGGTGAAATTATGGGGCCGGGAAGCAGAAAACCGTGGCTGCCGGGGAGGACTGGAAGGTGCATGGCTGCAGGAAGAACTGGAAGCAGTGGCACAGCGCGGTGGTCGCCACGCTTGGCCATGGAGGGGATGGCCAACGGGATAGCCATGAAGTTTATGGCAGGTGTCTCGGGTATGATAATCAAAATTGCAGTAGGTGCAGTGGAGGGGAGAACGAGCAGAGGAGGGACGGGACGGGCCACGAACAGCCATGACAGCAGGTTGATCGACATAGCGGAGGACGCTCAGGGAGCGTTGTTTTTCAGCTTGAGACACCGAGAAACAGGCCTGACGAACAGTGGGAAGAGGATTCATTAAAAGAATCTGGTCACGAACAGCAGCAAAGGATTCGTTGAGGCCCATTAAAAATTGCATGAGTTGTTGACAGTCATGCTTGGCATTGCAAGAGCACGTGCAGCCATCATTATAAGAAGCAAGCTCATCGCAGAGAGCTTTCAGGCGAGTAAAATAGGCGGAGATAGAAGAAGAACCTTGAGAAATTGTAGCAAGTTCCTGGTTAAGTTGGAAGATGCGTGGAGCATTACTCTGAGAGAAGCGTTCGCGAAGATCATCCCATACAGCTTGGACAGAGGTGAAAAAAAACACAGATTCTTGAAGGTCAGGTTCCAAGGAATGCAGAAGCCAAGAGAGAATCATGTCATTGCAACGACGCCAAGCCGCGTGAGCATTAGGGTCGTCGGAGGAAGAAGGTTCTTGGATATCGCCAGTGATGAAACCAAGTTTATTCTTGGCACTCAAGGAAAGCTGTATGCCACGGGCCCAGGATGTGTAGTTATCACCATTCAACTTCTTGGATACAAGGACAAGATTCGGGTGGTCGGAATGATGAAGGGAAAAAACACCATCGGAAGAAGAAGAGTCAGCCATGGGAACGGCATAGAAAGCTTCGACCCTATCTCCCCCTTCTTCTTTGCCTCCGCCACATCAACTCGCCGCCTCCATCTGTGTCTTCTGCCCCAAGTAACTAAAATACTCATGCCCTGGGACATCCACCAGCAGTTGACATTTGCATTATATATCAAAAGCCTTGTGGAGGCATTCCATGTCGTCAATGCGTGGGCCGATGGTGAAGACAGCGGGGAGCATGAAGGGAAGCTTTTCTGAGCTCATGGCTTGGACTTCGAAGGTATAGTTAACCGGGGACATGTCGAAGATTATGAAGGACTGGCCGGGGAGGATCCATGCCTTCTTTGCTAGCTTTATGTCGTCGATTCCGACTGTTGGAAATTATATATTGTAATATATAATTTTAATAGTTGAATGAAAAATATTGTTAACCAAAGGTTATGTTGTTTAGGTGTATTCCTTGATAAGTGATGTATACTTATAGATGAAAAGTTACATCTTTTTAATAGTAGTAGAAATTGGATTCTATTTAAACCCATGAAACCATTGGTATTAAATATAGAGAAAATTAGAGTTAATTTTTACTCTTGAGAAATAGGATTTCCCCACTTTGTTTCTCTCATGCTTCGTGTGTCAAATTCCGAGTTGTGTCTTGAGAGTACGGAATATATAAAGTTCGTCAGAGTCCGAAGATTGAAGTGCTTTGACTTCGGATTATAGATTGTTGAATCCTGGGCGATGGACGCCTACCGAACTACAAGCACAAGAGTAGGGGTGAAATTCTATCTTTAGGACATTGCATTTATGCAAGCCTCAATCTCCAAGTTTGTCAGTTATTCTAACTTTCTCTCTAGTTGTTTATATTAATCTCATATATAATTGATGTTGTGAATTTCTTTATGATTATTAGCATTGAAATTATATTATTATTTTTCATATTTTCTAATATTGCTCCAACAATCTAAAGATAGAATTTTCTTTATTTCTATGGAACAATGGGAAATATGAATGTTCTTGATTCTCATATTGAGAGTTTAAAAATGTGGCTTTAAAAGTCTTGGACAATGTATTTTGTGTTCCACGGATGTGGAACGAGTTGTTCCAGGGGGGTGAGGTGGAACGAAAATTCACCCAAAACTCATTCCGTGGAACAGCTTGTTCCACCCGTTTTAGGCGCACCAAACGTGGGACGGAACGTCTTGTCCCACTTTGTTCCGTCCCATCCCACGTAATAAACGGTACCTAAATGATACGAGTGTTCCCATCAAATTCAAATTCAATCCTCGACACTAAACGATCTAAAAAACATACCCATTACGACTGTTGGAAATATCGGTATAAAAGCGATGGCAGTAGCATGGCACTAGACTAGCTACTAAATAATTAACTGCACTAAATTGGCAATCAATTTGGCAGAGACCCGTCACCCACACAATCGCAACAATATGAATACAAAATGATAAAGGGATAGTAAAATTCATGATAATGGTTCAACAAAAACCTTAATTCACCGTTACACAGATCGAATATTTTAAAAGTAAATAAAATGCCAAAAAACAGTTCATCTGTCAAGAGTAGCTCAATCTAAATGCACTTCTTGCACAAAAGTAAACCTAACATACTTCTCAGATATCATATTCCAGTGAATGCTTTCTTCCCAGTTCCAGATGAACCGGCTGGAGTCACCTTCAACACATTAAACCTCACTGTCTTTGACAATGGCCTACAAAATTCAGAGAGAATCACCGTTTAAACAAAAGATAAATTGACGACTAATGGGTAAAACAAACTAAAGCATAAGAAACCAATCGTAATAGTTTAACAAGCAACATGCAGAAAATCTAACCTGCACTGACCAATAATGACATAATCTCCCTCTTTCACACGGAAGCAAGGTGAAACGTGAGCCGGAATGTTTGAGTGCCTTTTCTCGTATCTAGAAATAAGTGAAAAATTAATTATCCTCTTGTTAAGAAACAGAACAGAACTTCACTTTCTCATAGTAATTTAGCCTTACCTCTGGTATTTTTTAATATAATGAAGGTAGTTGCGGCGAACAATAATGGTCCTTGATATCTTGGCACTGTGGCAAGTACCAGAGAGAATACGACCCCTGATGGAGACGTTGCCAGTGAAAGGGCACTTCTTGTCAATGTATGTTCCTGCAGTAACATGCAAGCAGTTCTTTCATGTAAAATATGACCACCAAACTTCAAATAACACGTCATTCTACCATTTACAAATACAAAACCACTTCAATCATTATTCACCTCCCGGCATCACTCAACTCACTGAATCATCAAATGTACATGTCTACTGGCTACAAGCAACAACAAATTTCAAAGCATTCCACGGCATCTCTAAGTTATAGTACAAGCAAATGAACTGAGACGATACTACAATCCCACCAAAGAACACGAAGTATCACAATTGTAAGATATTACTCATCATCTTGATATCCGAACTTTAGCCTCAGCTCAAAAAAGATGATAAATTTGCACACATTACACGAGTTCAATCAATCAGGGGTCCATGGATAATAATTAAACAACAAAGCCCAAATGCTTGACAATGCAAATAATCTAATAAAAAGTAGGAAAATAGCTCTTTACATAACAATTTAAAGCAAACAAAAACAAAAAAAAATGGAAAACAACAATCACAAAAGCAAACAGAGAAAAAACAAGAGATTAAAATATACCTTCGATAGCATCCCGGGGGATCTTGAATCCCAACCCAACACTCTTCCAGAAGCGATTGCCCCCCTTTCCAGGCCTCTTTCCCTTCCCTGTCTTCTTTGAGCTGCAAACATTCATAATATCCACATATATTATATACCCATTAATCTTAATATTCATGTTATTATATAAAATAAATAAAAAGAACCATTTGATTTCAGCAGAAGCAGATGAACGAACCACGAACCAAATCGGATCTAAAAAGCTCGAAAAATATGATATTTTGTAATCAATTGGTTACCTGAGGAAAACCTTGGGCTGCTTCAAGAAAGCCTTCTCGGTCTGCAACAAAAACCACGAACCAAATCGGATCTAAAAAGCTCGAAAAATATGATATTTTGTAATCAATTGGTTACCTGAGGAAAACCTTGGGCTGCTTCAAGAAAGCCTTCTCGGTCTGCAACAAAAACAAGCACGAACAGATAGTTTATTGTTACCTGATGTTCTGCATTGATATGTGTGGCAACTCCAAATTCTCTTGGAGAATCGAAAACATGTACCTCACAACAATAAGATGCGTTATTTCTTTTGCCATACAAAAATAAGACATGCCACTTTTGTGTTCAAATATTATTCCCAACCCTCAATTAGAATGGATTAGTTTGGTCCAACACTATTTTTTCCTCCCTAGTTCCATTTATTTCTATTCTCAGTCATCTCTTATCATATCATATTTCACACTGTGAAATCCCAATCATGGGATTGCTCTAGTCCCCTTCTCGCTTAACTTCGGCTCAATTAGAATGGATTAGTTTGGTCCAACACTATTTTTTCCTCCCTAGTTCCATTTATTTCTATTCTCAGTCATCTCTTATCATATCATATTTCACACTGTCATCTCCCAATCATGGGATTGCTCTAGTCCCCTTCTCGCTTAACTTCGGAGTTCCCATGGAACCCAAAGCCAGTGAGCTCCCAAAAAGCCTCGTGCTAGGTAGGGATGAGAATATACATATAAGGATCACCCCTGGGCTTATACATATAAGGATCACCCCTGGGCGATGTGGGATGTCACAATCCACCCCTTTAGGGGCCTGACGTCCTCGTTGGCACACACGCGGCCAGGATTAGGCTCTGATACCAAATTGTCACATCCCGACCCGGGGCGGATCACTTCCCCGGCCCGCTCCACCACCGTAGCACGATATTGTCCGCTTTGGGCTTACCATTCCCTCACGGTTTTGTTTTTGGGAACTCACGAGCAACTTCCCAGTGGGTCACCCATCATGAGATTGCTCTAGCCTCCTTCTCGCTTAACTTCGGAGTTCCCATGGAACCCAAAGCCAGTGAGCTCCCAAAAGGCCTCGTGCTAGGTAGGGATGAGAATATACATATAAGGATCACCCCTGGGCGATGTGGGATGTCACACGTGTCGTGTTTATGTCAATTTAATTTCCACTATTTTATCTCGTTTTATTCAAGTGTGTGTATATATATATATATATATATATTTTTTTTTTTTTTTTAATGAAAAGAAAAAAACTAATGTATAGTTGATTGATAGAACATTAAGTAGGATGTTGTTTTTTCTTTTTCTACATATCAACAAGAGTGAAACTGAACTCAAAACATCGAATGTCAAAACATAATTTTGACTAATCGAACTACAAGTCTCTTACATTTCACAGTCCATGCAAACTTAAAAATTATCTCATATTTATAAACAAAATTATATTGATCTAACAATTTAGACAATTTTCGTGAACTTAAAGACCATATATTTAGCGTGGGTGAGGTACACGTCCACCTCAAATTTTAGACCTCAAGAGAGTGACCCCGCATGCGTTGATGAAAAAAAAAAAAAAAACATATTATTATCCTTCATTTCCTTGTTCTTCTGCACACACACAAGCAATTCGCTGTAAATATAGAACAAGGAAAGAAAGAATAGTGGACATGGACCTCCCAACAACCACCTCAAATTAAAGTTCGAACTTCGGAGGTGCTTTTCCAAATGTCGGTCAGCTTTCCATCATACACTTTATGGTCCACTAACTCAATTCCATCCAGCTTAACCATGATCCGTAGTCAATAATGAATTTCAGATTCGTATTTTCCACGGCACGTTGTGAGTTCGATTTTTATAACTCATGAATCGCACAATGGTGATTAAAAGAAGCTGAAATGTCTCTGTGAATCTTTTCGGTTTGATTCCAAAATTCAGTTCCATAAGTGTTATTTTTCAAAATTTTCAAAAGTCCCAGAAATTTTTTTATTTTTTTATTTGTAGTAACTAATCTCCCACGAAAATTATTAGTCAATACCTTCACACCTGCACTAAACCACGAAAGCTAAAAGGAAAAAAAGTTAGAAAAAAAATAAATTAACGAAGAATAATTAGAGAAAAATAAAAGTGAATTGTTATTGACACTTCAAAATTTTCATTATACACTCCAAATTTTATGTATTTAGAAAGAAAAATACACTTATAAAAAATATAAAATAAAAATTTTGAAATACCAATAATAATTTTCAAAATAAACTAACGAATAAATAATCAAATATTTCAAAAGAATATAGCTTGAACGGAAACAAACGCAACCCCGCAAGCCAAACGACGGACTGAACGGACGCACACGAGGAGAACAACGCACTGAACGGAACGGTGACGGACGGAGACGGCAAACATAACGGAACACCCCAAACGCGGCAAACACCAATGGATTCAACTCAACTCCCGTGTCACTAATGGATTGAACCGCTAGCTTCATAACTCGTCCGAGTTGGTTGAGGCGACTCATCTGGGCCATCGGAGGATCTGGTCGGATCAGATTAGTTGCTGCCGCGATGTGCGGCTCCGAGTTCGACTCGCCGGGTTCAAAGATCGGAAAAAGAGAGAAATGGCCGAAAATAACCAACATGTCTCTGTTGTGTCACTCTGTAAAACAAAAATCAAAGAAATCGATGTGAATCGTAACTCACCGCTAGTCGTGGGCGGTGGACATGACGGAGAGCCAGCTCGGCCGTGGCTGAATCCCAGCTCTCCGCCGCTGCTGGTGAGCGCAATGTGTAACGCGGTGAACGTGGGCCAGATAAACCCACAAGCCCAGGACCCAAACCTTTTATTCAAATCCAAACCGGATGACCCGACTAACACCTTCCCTTTGCTCCTCTGCCAGATAGAAACAATTTTAAACTCAATTCACACAATCAATGGCGGCTGAACCCGGACCGGAACCCGGATCCACAAATTTCTCCTCCGCCGTCAACGGCGGCAAGAAGTTGGAGGAATGCCAAACCATGATCCAGAGGAGCCTCCGGAGTACGCTCCTACTTTCCCTCGCCTTTTATTTTCCTTCAAACAAATTAGTTTCATGAATTCTAATGTCTGCTCAGGGTTTAGGGTTTTAGGTCTTCTAGGGTTTATCTTTGATTTCCGTTTGTTATCTGCAACCAAACATGCTGCCTCTGTCGGTTATTGAATTTGATTTGATATGTCGGTTATTGAATTTGATTTGATCTGTTTCCTCTTCGACAGCTCCGATGGTGAAATTTCTGTTGAAGCATTTGGAGCAGTCTGGGTGTGGGATTGGGGACAGGTTCATCAAGGCCATTAATTGCAATAAGCAGATTGCTGGCGGTTATATTCGCGGCGAAGGGGTACAATTCAATCGCTATTTCTCTTCGTTTCAATTTGTTTACTTGAAAAGCTCTGATTACAGATTTCAGCAAACTTCATTTTGCAATTGGAATTTAGCAAATGCAATAGAATCTGCACATTACTACTTCGAATGAACATTGTGTTTTGAAAGTTTCAATCCTCGAGTGAACTGAGTGGCGGAACATAGTTTCTTGCCATTCAGTTATCTCGGTCAATTGATTCTTTGTAGAAGAATTCTGTTACAGTTCGGAATAGTAAATGTTTGCGGGATGAGCTTGTTCTGAATCTGATATATTTATCTGTTCTCTATGTCTGCATTTGTACTAGATACTGGTGTGTAGTAATCACATGACAATGCAAGACGATGTCAACCAAGTAGTGATACACGAGTTAATTCACGCTTTTGACGATTGTCGTGCTAAAAACTTGGACTGGGCTAATTGTGCACATCATGCTTGCAGTGAGGTGTGCGTTGATACAGCAACTGAATCTTTTTCTTGTACTGGACAGTGTAATCTTCAAACCTCAAGTTTATTTATTTTTTTTCACAAGTATTTACATACCGTCATTCTGGAACAGATTCGTGCTGCCCATCTAAGTGGTGACTGCCACTATAAAAGGGAATTGTTGCGGGGTTTTGTAAAGATTCGAGGTCATGAACAAGTGAGTTATTTTGGCTTCAATTTAAATAAAAATTAAAGATATATACCTTCTTTGCATACAAAGCGAACTAGTCTTTTACCTTAATTTGATTTGGAAATATGAATGCCAAAGACCTACGGTTGTAGGAAGGGGGAAACAGCCCTTTTCATATATAACAAAGTTTGGATTTATACCGAATGCAAGGTCATTTGATTTCTCTTGTTCTTTGATTGTCTCACTGTCAATTAAAAAATAGGGTTTTAATGAATCGTGGTAATTGGTTGAAATAAACTGGAGATGGAGAAAATCTCCCATATTCGTAGCTGTTCTTCATTTGCCTTAAGTATTATCATATGCTCTAGTTTATTGTTTGTAGGCTAACTGTATCTTTTCATTGGATTCTTGATTTGACATTTGCAGGATTGTGTGAGACGAAGAGTTATGAAATCAGTCATTTGTAATCCTCATTGCTCAGAAGCAGCTGCAAAGGACGCCATGGAAGCTGTTTGGGATGTTTGTTACAATGATACCCAGCCCTTTGACAGAGCTCCTTAAGAAACAGTACTAGGTATTTGCCTGATCGCAACCCAACTGTCAACTCCATGTTTTTCAAAATTTTAATTTGGCATTGCAGGAGACTGCCCATTAAGAGAAACAGGGTTGTTCCCTTATTATTATTTTTTTGGTGATATATTCAATTAAAAAATCATTTTCTTCCTTTACATGGCTGTATGAGGAAATTTTACTGTATCAGATTTGTCATACAAATTGTACACCGATAACAGTTGTTTTTTGTGCTTACATTTCAAAATAATGCCAGCTTATCGTGTTTATTTTTCCTTCAAATTTGACGAACTACGTGTTGGGCTTTGTAGAAGAGAGTTTCTATCAGAAAAATACAATGTTCATCAAAAACGATCCCTGCAGTTTTTTTATGTGTATGGTCAGGCCAACAAAACGACCATGTAATTTATTGGTTCTACTGAGTAATAACTAGATGAGCCTATTCTGCAGACCCCATAATGTTAGAGGCTATTACTCACAGTTCGGGATCTCGGACCAAATGGTGATCACATGGATATCCCTTTTTCTTTCTGGATTTTGATTCTAATTAGATTTAGAGGGAGCCTTGGCCGAGGCTTGGGGTGTTCGGGCCTTGATGGGCTTCTTGAAGCTGGAGGGTGAAGGAGAGGGACTAGTCGCAGACTTGGGGGATGCAGCCGGACTGGTGGACTTCTTTCCGGAAGCTTATGAGTCACTCTTGGATGATGTGAACTGGCTAGCGCCGATTGGGTCGTTGATGATGGTGCAGACTTAGGTGAAGAAGATGGAGAGGACGGTGGAGACTTGGTGGATGGCGCTGGAGCGGGGGATGGTGATTTAGTGTCACCTGAACGACTTCCAAGCTCTCCAATGCGGGAGGGTAAACTAATAGCTTTTCAATGCGAAAGGGTAAATTAATAGCTCTCCAGTGCGAAAGGATAAACTAATAGCTCTCCAGTGTGAGAGGGTAAACTAATAGCTCTCCAGTGTGAGAGGGTAAACTAATAACTCTCTAGTGCAAGAGGGTAAACTAATAGCTCTTCAATGCGAAAGGGTAAATTAATAGCTCTCCAGTGCGAAAGGATAAACTAATAGCTCTCCAGTGTGAGAGGGTAAACTAATAGCTCTCTAGTGCAAGAGGGTAAATTAATTCCCCGACACCCATATGGGTAAACTCTCTAGTGCGAGAAGGTAAACCAATTGTTCTCCAGTGCTATAGGGTAAACTAATTCCTCGACACCCATCTGGGTAAGCTTTCCAGTGCAAGAAGGCCACATAGCTCAAAAGATCGAATGCTTGAAAACCAACTAGGCAGTGAATAGTCACGGGGCAACAGCCACTTTGCACTAAACAGTTCACTTATTCGATTGCTCATCTACAGCAGCTAAGAAATCAAACTCAAGCAGTGTCCTTATTTTCAGCAAGCAGCCCATGCCACGGCCAGCCGACGTGCCGCATCACCCCAACGGCTGCCCCGCGGCAACATCACCCAAGAAGAAGATAAGGAGAATTAAGTTTTCTTACATTGATGTGACACGAAGAAGACAAAGAAATCAATGGAAGACGGTTTTTTGCACGGGCAAGCAAAAAAGAATGCTAGGAGAGGGGGAACAAATATCCTCTAGTTTTCTCTCTTTCTTGTAGGGATAAATAATTGTCCTCTGAAGTTGATTTAATTCCCTACTTAAGGCAGGCTTAAATAGGCTTTGGAGGTGATTTATTTCCCTTTCCTAGAAAAATCTAATTCCAAGTCCACTTGAGAATTTGCATCAAGGCTAGATATCTCAACACCTACTGCCTTTTCCTGCGAGCAGCCCAACAGGTGTGGGGGAATTCGTGGAGCCAAAAAAAATCACAAGGCGACACGTGGATTTTTGGATAAAAGGACAAAATTACCCTCGAGGCACACCGGGATTCCTACGCACGAGCAGTGGGCAATCATCCCTCAACCAAGTCAAAAGTGCCCAAAATAGGTAATAATTCAAAACCTGTTTCATCCATCCTCATCAAATCCTCTACACAAGGTAACTCCCAAATCATTTCTCTTTTATTATATTAATTAGCTAATCAATTAGGAAATTATTCTATTAATTAACTAATTAATTGATTTATTATTCAATTATTCCTAATTAGCTACACATCATGAACCTCATCCAAAATACCAACCAAGTGGCTGGTCCTCCTCCTCCTCCTGCCGGCCACACCCCTATAAATACTACCTCATTCTCTCCAAAACTCAATGTCAATTCTCTTACTAAATTCTCTAAATTCTCTAAACATTTTTCCTTCAAAATTCTAACTTTGGCATCGGAGGTTCTTCGGCCAAAGCTCCCCTCCCCAATTCATCATGGGCACATGAGGCTCTTGGCCTTAACCTAAGGTGTTATTTGTTTTGTAGATGCAATTTTGTCCAAGATAAAGGAGGAAGAATTTGCATCCACACTCACAAAGAAGATTTGGCGAGAATCCTCACAAAAAGGATCCGGCGATGATCCTCTCTCAACTTTTCTTAGAAGAAGTATAATTGAAAATCAAAATATACATATATTGGACACCATTTGAGAGACAGTCTCTAATGGCACCTCAAACTAGAAATGCATGGAAAATTTGAAAGATTATATGTCGACCATCATTCAAATTTAATCCTCGAGGACAATGTACTGTGAGGTGATAACCTTTGGACTTCATCAACCCAAAAATCCTTTGATTAGGTCACCTGGTCAGGTACCCCAAAATCCTTTGATTAGGTCACTTGGTAGGGGCCGTATCCGCATAAGGAAGCGCAGAGAACCAAACCCTAAACCCAATCTTTGTTATATATATTATATATATATATATATATATATTAACATGCAAAATATTACAAAGCTAACAAATATGATTCCCAACATCCAATTAGGATGGTGACCAATATCATAGGGTGATTCAGTCAAAAGGCATGTCAATTACATGATGTCGTGTTCATTTCAAAAAAAAATATATATATATATATATATATATTTATAAAAAGAAAAAAAAAATTAATATATTACTTCGCTTTGATCTTCTTCTCATGAGTTCTTAAACACCTATAGTCAAAGTGACAAGTGTAGAAAGAATAAGTGGGACAACATGTAAATTGTGTGTTATTGTACAGTTGATTGGTAGAATATTGAACTAGGAGTTTTTTTTTTCCTTTCTTTCTTTCTTTCTTTTAGTAGTGTAAAACTTATCAAGAAGAGTGAAATCGAACTCAAAATTTAGATGCTAGAAAATGATTTTGATTAGTCAAACTGCAAGTCTCTTACATCTTGCGCTCGATGAAATTTAGAAATACTCTCGTATTTATAAACGAAATTATGTTTATTTAACGGTTTAGACAATTTTGGAAGTGTGCAATCCAATGAGCAATGATTCAAAGCGTCAGCACACATCCACCTCAAACCTAGACATCAAGAGAGTGAGCCCGCATGCGTTCGATGCAAGAAAACATATCATTATCCTTCCTTTCCTTGTTCTTCAAGGACGTTGGATCGTGGATGCCACTTGCACACAAAGCAATTCTATGTAAATATGTAACAAAGACACAAAGAACAATGGACCTCCCAACAACCACCTCGAATTAAAGTTTGGACTTTGTAGATGCTTCTCCAAGCATCTCCAAAGCTCCGTCAGCTTTCCATCTACAAATTTCTGGTCCACCACCTACAGGCTCCAACTCAATTCCATGTAGCTTTTTCCTTTTTTTTTTTTCCTTCCTTTATTATTGGTCCTTTTATTTTTATTATTATTATTATTATTATTTTAATTTTCCCCATCACGGCACCTATCACGCTTGGCGCCAGATTAAACGTTAAGGAATATAAATGGGGGCCAGGTCACGCCCTTTGGGTTTTACTCCCCTTCTCTTAAACCCGACGGTCCAAAATAATTATAATCTAACCTACCGTTCGATCTTAATCTCACAATTCAAAAGATAATACATTGCATTTTTCTAAATAATATTTTGAGTCTCAAGGCTGATTTGATATTGCTGTTTTTCAATTTTTTTCACTCAAAACTGTGAAAATAAACTGTTTTTAAATGTTTATCAAATATTTTTTTTTTGAACTCTACTTTTTTTTATACCTATTTTTAATTTTTTATAAAAGCACAACATCATTCTTCGTCTCAATAACCTTCGTGTTTTGAAATTTAAATAATGTTTCAAGTCTGAATAACGGCTTCCTTGGTGTTTTCATGTTAACATTAAACTTTTATTTTTCATTCCTTAAATCCAATCATTTTCTATTTTTACCTCAATTTTATTTCTTTTAACTTATTTGGTCATAATAATATATTCAGTTCCCAAGAAGGTTCAGTTCGTCAAATTGGAGGCGCCAACTCCAATATTCAGTTCCAAAAGTCATGTTCAAATTTTTAAGTAATAAATGTTTTTAAGTTATCTCCCACGAACATTATCAGCCAATACCTTCACACCTGGCAACAAACCACTAAAGCTACAAGGAACAAAAGTCAGAGAAAATAAATTAACGAGTAAATAATTAGAAAAATAAATTAACGAATAAATAATCAAATAATTCAAAAGAATATACCTTCAACGGAACCAAACGCAACCTGGTATACCAATACGACCGACTGAACGGACGGAACGCACGTATCGGACAACGCGAACGCACTGAACGGAACGGTGACGGACCAGAGACGGCAAACATAACGGAACACCCCAAACGCTGCAAACACAAATGGATTGAACTCAACTTCCGTGTCACTAATGGTTTGAACTGCTAGTTAATTAGTCCTTAATCAGATTTTAATTAGGGGGATTAATTGTGGGATTAGATTAGATACTCCAACAACTGTCCTTCCAATTTTCCATAGCAATTCATTACAAATATGGAGTTTCTCTTTCATAGGGTTTCTTCACTTGACGCCGGTTCCGTTCCGTGCATCCCCAAAAGTGCAAAACTCGCAGGCTTGACTCGGCGCCGCCGCTTCATAACTCGTCCGAGTTGGTTGAGGCGACTCATCTGGGCCATCGGATGTATCTGGTCGGATCGGATCACTGTGCGCTCCGAGTTCGACTTGCCGGGTTCAAAGGGGAAAAAGAGAGAAATGGCCGAAAATAACCAACCTGTGTCTGTTCTGTCACTCTGTAAAACAAAAATGAGAGATCGATGTGAATCGTAACTCGCCTCTAGTCCTTGGCGGTGGACATGACGGAGAGCCGGCTCGGCCGCGGCTGAAACCCAGCTCTCCGCCGCTGCTGGTGAGCGCAAGGCCGAATCAGGGCGGTCAAGGCTCGCTTCACCCACTCGCCTTCGACTCCACCGATTCGAACCAGCGAGTTCGTCATAGCGGATCTGCGCATATTCAACCTGTTCGACGGGAAAGATCCGGTGTTTTGACTCCCGCCCTGGTTCTTGTGGAGGCTGCAGCGAAATGATCCCGGATGCGACGTCGGGGAGCACATACAGGTCTTCTTTGGCATCGAAATCGGTCCGGTTTTCTTCGAAACGGCGATGGATCGGTTCGAATGATGGTTGGGAGAGATGGATCGGTGGTCGATGGAGAACCGGACGGACGGAGACGGAGAGGAGGAGGTGTAGAGATTGACACGCGTCGGAGACGCCGATCGGTGGTGGTGGTGGTTGTGGATCTGCTGATTGTAGTAGTGGTGGTCCTGGTGGTGTTGGAAGAAGGCGGAGGCCGGAGACGAGAAGCTGGAGCTTGTCGAAGAAGCGAAACCTGATGCGGATGACGAGATCGCGCCATTGGAAGCCGTGTAGAACCTCCCAGAAGGTGAGAGCGAGCGGAGGACCGGTCCGCTTCCATTGGACCGGGTTCTCGCTCTCGATGAATAAGATGCGGTCGCCATTGGAGAGAGTAGAGAGAGAAAGTAAGTGATGAGAGGAGAGAGAAACGAGAGAGAGAGAGAGAGTCTTTTTTACCTAAAGGCCCCTAGGGCGTTGGATTTGGCAAACCTATCGAGTCTCAAGTGCCGGTTTTATAGATCAGGAAGGGGGAGGGCGGGTGGTAATTAGAAGGAAATCTGGGGGTTATTTGGGAATCCCGGTTTACAGGATTGGTGGGTTTTCTGACAATGGGAATCTTATCCAACGGCTGGAGTGATGGGGACTCGCCGAAGAGGACGAAAGTTGGAGCCGCTTGTTCAGCTTCTGCCGGGGCCACTCCAGAGCAGGCCACGTATAAACTCAATGGAAACGCTTGCGTTTGAAAGTACGAGAGGCCCAGTAATCTTCTCTTAATTACGTATTGCCATTGGCTTGTTCGGCGTGTAATCCCTTAACTAACCCCACACTTTTGGGCTTTACTCTCCTAGGTCCCTAGTTTATTGCTTTTTCACTATTTTATTAATAAAAATTTATACAGTTATATTGTTTTACCTTTTTAAAATAAGTAGACTGGTAGGTTGGGTTGTTTATTTATTTTTTAGGAATTTTGGTATGGAGGCAAAAAATAGCCAACGGGATTCTCTTCAGATTTTTTTATTTAGAAATTTTTAACCGTACAATGTACAATGTACGATGAACGAATATGATTATTAGATCTTCAAAATCCTAACAAAAAGAATCCAGATTCTAAAAATAGGGCAGGATGGTTCAGGGTACTAATAATGGAGTTGGTTCTTTTACGTTGAATTTAATTTTTTTTAGGCGAGTGGGCACTTGGTTGCCCAAATTAGTGGAATTCTTAATCACTTTTAATCCTTAATTTTTATTGTTCTTATCTTTGTCTAGGAAAAATGCAAATCTTCGTATTCACTCGAAGAATCAGGAAAGAAAAAAAAAACAAAGTTAAGAATTCTTTTATGGGCTTAACCGTGATCGTTCAAATGAAAAAGTAGGAAGATTAGGAGAAAAAAAAATCATACCCTTCCCTTTACATATCTGGTGAATTAAGACATACACTAGAGAGAATTTGGACGTGAAGTGAGATGAAACAAAAATATATATAAACTAATGTTTATGAATGTCAAACCACATGCTGATATGTATCTAAAGAATGAGTAAACTACGGTCTAGTGTATTCTTCTTCATTTATAAGTAAGAGGTGTTAGGTTTTATTATCGTCAAAAGTGAATTTGAACCAAAATATTCCTAGCCCATTGTGAGGCTCAGTTCATCATTTTCTCCATAATATAAATAATATCATTTGTTAAAAAAAGATTATAATAATTTAGGAGTTTGATCAAATTCAAAACTATGAAAATTGGGCCAAATTTGTGGTGTGAGACAAAAGTATTGTTCAATTTTTTATGACCGAGTTATTGTTAATTTATTCAAACAATACTTTTCAAACTAGTTGAACATCCATAGGCTTACAACATCATATGATTCAATTATTTTCTTTGATTCTCATTTGATTTGTTAAATTCAATAATTAAATAACGGTTGTTTTACGGATATGAAGTACATAATCTCGGTTACAAAAACGGCTACACCCGCTAGAAGAAGTCCAATTTCCAGGCGAGTACAACATATTGAATTCTTAGACGACCAATTCAAATTGGTGAATAATTCTTAAGCTTGAAGGAGGGCGCAAAAGAATAAGAGGATTCGACTGCGCACTCTTTGCCGATTTCATTCACACGTTTTAAACTTTTAATTGAACTTGCTTGGTTTTATACGAAGATTCAAGTTGAATATGCTTCAAGCTTTCCTGAAACTTGCAACTTAAAGTAACAGCTAGCAAAAGTAAAATCAGGAATTGGATCCTCTCTGAGGCAATGCCTCGGGATCCTACTGACCGGACAACATGGGCCGTTGGATTTTGATCAAACGGCTACAAACAGGGGCGGTCCCTCTACAGTTATAATAATTGTAGCCGTTGGATCAAAATCCAACTGCTCATGTTGTCCGATCGGTAGGATCTGAGGCATTGTCTCGGAGAGGATTCAATTCCGTAAAATTAATTGTAGAAACGAAATATTCGTCAACTCTTAACATATACGTCTTGAATTCAAAACTCTTATTTTATTTCAATTATTGTAATAATTTTGAATTTTACGTTTTTCACCTAAAGATAATAAATTTTTTTTTTAATAAATAACTTTTGACGCACTTGTAACTTGGAGCATGTGCTCAAGATGTAACGCTCCACCAACTCAGTCACTGCCTCAACCATATCCAACCCTAGCTAAAGCATTAGGGACCTAATTTTGCCGCTAAATACTTTTATCCCACTTGCAAGTTAGGCCATTACACGTGGATTCAATATTTTGAAAGCCCAGTTTTCTTTACGCAATGTTTGGACGATGAATTTTCAAATTTAATAAATCCTCTTACAGCATGCCTTTATAAAGCAAGGATCAGGAAAATTTTAATCTCTCATATAAGCATTTAGTGATGCATTCCTTAGTAAGCTTAATCTCAATCTGTTATGACTTGAAAATCTCTCATTAAAACATGACCCTTAAGGATAAAAATAACTTTATTCAGGTCCAAGTGTGGCCATATGCGCTTGAATGTAATGCTTTTATGCTGTAACCACAAAGGAAAATACTAGGGAAATTATATTTTGCAAATCACACAAAATGACGATTGATGGTTGAATTTTATTTTTAATGATTCAATGAAAGCATTCAATCATCAACCGTCACATCATATGATCTACAAAGTATAATCTTATTAGCATTATCCAAACGAAAATATATTTTCCAGTAATTAAGGCTAGTTTAACTGTTGAAGTAAAACATGACTTTTATATAAAACAATATGTATTAAAAAAAAAAAAAAAAGGTCAAAGCTTAATAATTTGATTAGAGGTGAGAAAGATTCAACAAATTGAAAATAATTTTATCTTTTGCTAATTAACTATTTTATTAATATCTGACTGGGTATGAAGAACAGATGTATTGTTTAACTATGGTCCAATCTATTAGACCTAGTTTTTTGCCTCCTTCCAAAGGAACAGATTTGACCGGCATATGTAGTACGTACTAAATAAATCCCCTGGCATTTGTAAATGTGGATCAGAGTGAGGAGGGAAAAACAATTTAAATAATAGTTCTTGTGCACAGGCTAATTAACTTGGGGCAATGCCTAAAATGGTCGTAATATTGAGATGACTTTTCATTTTAATATTTGATATTTAAAATTAATAAAAGTGATTTATGAGTTTGTCAACTATTAATTATATTGGCCATTCCGTAAAAAAATTATGTTGAATAAGGGCCAAAATGACAAAATACTCTCAATTTAATAAACAATAAGTCAAAATGATTTGACAAAAATTGAGAATATATTTTGTCAATTTAATGAGAGATTTTTTTCCGAAATGACCAAAATGATTGACTGTAGACGAACTCAAGGACCATTTTTATCGATTTCAAATCTTAAAAACCAAAATAAAGATTGCGTCAATCTCAAAAACCATTTCGACTAAAAAGTCTTAACTTGATGCTTATCTTGAGCTCCTTAGTGCACTTCATAGATAAGTTTGTGAGCTTATTAAAAAACAAAAATGATTAAAATAAAGCAAACTTTATTTCTAATTATTGCATAGGCAAGCTGTAAGTTGTTTAAGATATTCTTATTTGGGTTGTGTGATTGCCTGATTGGGTTCTAGATGAAAATGAAAGCAGCCCTTTTTTAAATTCAAATTTATAAGGGAGAGTACGTTTTCTTTAGCCGATGCTGTTACACCCACTGCCAAGATTGACGATTGCATTCATGTCCTAACCTTTAAGCAACAAACATTTATCATATTTAAACAGCATTTAATTGTGAGGAGTTAAACCGTGTTTTTCTTACTCTGTTAGTTCATAATATGAATAACATTCTTAATTATATGCCTTGTTTCGTACGGCCTTGATTCTTAATCCACAATATAGTAACATATGATACAATTACTTTTCTGCTGTAAATACAATACGCTAATTTACTCAAATACCTATGAGAATTGTTATTAGCACTCAAAAAATCTCATTCTACACTCCTCGCAAGTGTATTTTTCTTTCTAATTATAGAAAATTTGGAGTGTCAAATTTTTAGAGTGCTAACAACAATTCTCATAACTATTAAACCACAACTATTTGACCTTTTAATCGTAAATTGTACCACAAGTAATCAAATATGCTTAAGCCAGTGCTTGACTCTAATTTTGTGTGTGAATGTTTATGAATATGTCAATGGAGATGTCACCTTGGCCTTTGGCACAGCCTTGGGGTCATATGGCTCTGAAGTTGATCCTAATAGTATTACGAAATTGCTAGAAGCATAGAAAACTTTGTAACATTTGCTACAAACTTTGTAACATTAACTTAGATATTTTGGTGGTATATAATAGAATAAGATGTTTCATTATCACCATCTCATCAAGTCTTTCTTGCAATTTAATTGAATTAATAAATACTCAAATGTCAAATCGTTGGTAGTCAATTGTTTAAGGAAGAAGAAATAAGGATCCTTTGTGATTGGTATGGGCCAATTGAGGTTTACAAGGCTGGCAAAGGAGGCACACCAGCGAAATTGTGTAATAGGTGAAGTGAAAGCAACAAACAATACGTTACCCTTTTCAATTTTACAACCAACGCGTATAAACGATAGATTTGAACTTTGAACATTTTAAAATATTAAGAAGGAAAATATCACTGTGGCAACAAAAATTATACGATTTTTAGTCAAAATGGTCTTTAAAATTGACATAACTCTCCACTTTGGTATTTAAGATTCGAAATCGATAAAAGTGATCATTGAGTTTGTCAACCGTCAATTATTTTGAACCTTATGTGAAAAATCTCTGTTAAATAAATATCAAAATGACAAAATTACTCTCAGTTTAATAAACAATGGCCCAAAAATGATGTGACAAAATTGACGGTAGACAAACTCAGGAATACCACTTCTATCGATTTTAAATCTTAAAGACTAAAGCGATGAGTTATACCAATTTCGAAGATCACTTTAACTAAAAAGCGAACATTGTATTGTTGTGACTACTCAATTCAAAACCAGCAAGGATGAATGGAGTAGGATTCTCTCCCCTCTTTTTTTCCCTCCCCTTTCCTCTCCTCCTATTTGAACAGTCACAGTTAAGCCACGTTAACATTTTATATCAATTTTTTGTAGAAAGAGAAAGACAAAATAGAGAACGTGAGAGGAGGGGATGGAAAGAGGAGAGAAGAGGATCCTAATCCAGGATGAATTGGTGTTAATATTTTCAATTTTATGTGTGGCAGTGACTCATAATATAATGTATGAAGGCCACCCTCCATGTTTCAAATTTGAAGGACAAGGAAATGCCTGAAGGCAACCCTAAGCAAGTAACATCCCAAGATAAAGAAACCCTACCACTTTGTTTGCAACCAAACCAAGAATTTTCAAAACTTTAAAATTAGTTATTAATGCAGTGAAAACAACACAACAATATTTCATTGATTAAAATAAAAAAACATTACTCTAGTTGATAGAAAATTCATTGGCATTATTTCACCTTTGAGCATAAGATACTTAATATAAATTGTGGAAAATAAAAAGAAATAAAACAATAACCTTGTTGTATCAATAATTGGTCCCCAAAAAAAAAAAACTGCAATAATTGGTCAAATCAACATTGAGATTAGAGAGAAGGTTTTGCATCTGAAAGTGGTTAAGCTGCTTCTAAAAACATATTTTAATTCCACTAATCTTGATTAGGCTGCTGTCTTTCCTCCAAGACACTACTTTTTTTTTTTTATCATTTTGAAACACTATCCCCTCCACATGTTGGAGCTGCAAATAATGTAGAAATTTGTTGAGAAACTTTCAACTGAGCACATGGATGGCTGCTGTGCGGGTGACCATTTGAAGCTTACAGCTGGGAAATGCCTCAGTTTTCTGAAGAACCCAAACTAGGTTTCATCTCCGAATAATTTTCATTCATGATTCTTTCCATTGCAAGTAAGAAAACATGCTTGTAAAAATAAAATTTGAATTTTTTTTTTTACTTTTTCTTTTGGGTGTTGGGTGTAATGACCACGAAATTTTTGAATGCTTGTAGAACTCCAGGTTCATAATTCACGAGGACCAGAACATTTTCTTCATAAACTCAGGCGGGAAGTCGACCCCAAATACTAGTTGGCCTTAAAGGAATTGGACTATTTTATCAAAAAATGAAAGAAATGCAAATTGCATAAATTTGAGATTGCTTTGCTTTTTCTAAAACTGTTTTTACTGATCTGTAAAAATAAATAGTGAAAAAGTAAGTATTTGGTAAATTATAGTGATAGAAAGTATTTTTAGCAACAACAAAAAATGATGGCGTAAGATTGTCAATATAAAAGTTTCATTAACTGGCAGTGTTCACTTGCGTCCAAAGGAAAAACAAACCTTTTTTTTTTAGAAGCATATGTAAAGTTGGTTCTGCTTTTTGCTGTTTTAGACCTATGATTTTGAAAAAAATTTCATTTACCAAACACAACTAAAAAGACCCCAACTTTTTGAAGTAGCTACTTTTAAAAAAATTTAAGCAACCCCAAACCAGCCTAACAAGAAGCATAAAGACAAATCTAACATTCAATATGCAGAAAGTTTCAAACCAAAAAGAATCCATTTGCAATGTTACACAATTAAGCAGTGGAATCAATGCTCCGAAATTTCACCAAGATCCTTTTCTCCTCCAGTAACTTGAGCGGATTCAGCCATTACCTCTTTCGTATAAATGCGGTGGCGCCGCTCCCTCCCATATATCACCCAGAAGAGGAGTGAGAGCATGACTGAGGTAGAAACAATCACCAACCCAATGTAGATCCATCTACTGTACCGGCTTAGGCCGGGACAATGATCCCGGTAAACGTCACTAAAAGTTTCCCTAGCAAACGTGCAGTCTTGCAGTTGAACCAGTATAGGGGCATAATTATACAAGCCGTTACACAGACTTACTCCGGTACTCATCTGGCTGTAGAAAGTTGGGGTCAAACGCCCTGCTGTGGTGCAAATCCCGTTTGGTGAAACCTGGCAGACATATTTTCCCCATACCTAGAAAAATTTGAGCGAAAGTGTTTGAGGTTAGCTAAATTGGTCTATGAATGTAGCCGTAAAACTAATGTCCTCGAAAACTTTATCCATCGATTATTTTATGCACTAATGTCGCAGAGTTCGGTACCTCTGTTGCATTGTTCAAGTTTACTTCGCCTGCAGTGCAAACTCGATCGGTCAAGTCAGGAAAAAATGGGTTGCAGAGGGTTGGCACCAAGGGACCAGATTGATTGAAGTACATTGGCACAAAGGCGGGGGCGAAATTTAAGTTAGAGACGTTGGTGATGACCTCGTTGATCAAGTCGACCAGTTGCAAGGTGACTTCTTTGTTTCGCAGCAAGGTTTCTTGGGCGGTTGCACTGTCTACACAGGGCAGTATATCATCTAAAGCTGTATGTGCGGCGGGGTTTTGGACCCATTCATCCATTGCAACACAAGTATCTGCAGCCACACTAGTATGTCAAAGGGAAGAAATAGTTAGTTCTAGGTACAGATTGACGATACCTATTACTTAATAGTTAATACCAGATGAAAAAGATCAGTCGTGGGCGAATATTTAGCGAAACAAGGAACCAAGCATTTCTTTTAGGAAACAAAACCGAAACCATTCAATCTAAAAACTAGTCACATTTTTTAAAGACAAAGTCGAAGAAGAAAGAACTTTTAACTGGAAGTAATCACAAGACTTACTTATGTAGAAGAAGGAACGTGCCACACAAAATAAATGTTCCCGTCACAAGTATCCATGCTGCGATTACCAGGCTGCAACAGTTAAGATATAATTCTTTGGTGAGTAAAGAAACAAGCAAACGTTTAGCGCAAATTTACACAGCTCTAAAGAAAGAAATGACAGAAAGAGAGAAACGAGGTATTGTTGGAACTAACTCACATGTACACAAGCAACTGCATCCCGAAAAGTGAAAATACTGGAAGGACATGTTGCGAAAGAGAAAAGATTAAGTACCACAAAGTAAGATGTTTAGGAAACCAGAGTATAGCGTCATAAGGATATCAAGCAACTTACACAATCCCAGAAAAGTTAAGACAAGCAGAATGGCAGCACTTATGATAAGCGCCAACCTCCTGCATGTACATTAAGATCCAATAAGGTCTCAAAAGATATGGAACACGTAAAATAGTAAAAAGAAAGGGAAAGGTTTTTATCTACATTGAATCTAAGAGATCTCGTATGTCCTTTGAATTCTCCACGGTTTTCTCGGCAAGGGTATTAGCAGAAGAATTAATCTTTCCTCCAATTTGATCGATATCAGTTTGAACGTTAGCAGGTAAATAAACTTGATCAACTCCAAGCTGCTTGGCCGAAGCAAGATAATCCGATGCATTCCTCAATTGTACGACTGTAATATCTGCCTGATGTACAACATACTCCAAAGTACTTGTTGTGCTACTGTGAAACCTCTGTTGACCAGTGTATAACACAACACATCCGATGCTGTAATCACAAAATAGCACAGTTTTTAAACAAGTGCAGCTGAACATGAAGTCAAAAATACACACAAACACACACATATGATTTATACATATGTATATATTTGTAGAGAGAGAGGGAGGTACATTGTTGCAATGGTGAAGAGCACAAGGAATATAAGAGAAAGAGCATAGGCTGTCCGAGAATAGCCATAAGTCTGCCTTTGACAGCAAAAGTAGCAGACGGAGATGATCAGCAAGCTCAAGCCAAAACCCAGGAACCAGATTGCAGCAATGGCAAAAAGGGGAACTGCAGTAAAACCCACCGACTGCATTCGAGGAAAATATTAGATAAGGAATGTGTATACGAACTTACAAAGACATTTCAGACTAAACACAAATGAAAGTGTTATTAAGTGATGATCGATAACATACATTCAGAGAAAAATTTGAAGAAACAAAATTTTTGCAAACAAAGTTTTACAAACAAAACCGACAGAATGAGTCACTCAAAGATCGCTGGAAAACTTACTTTGTCACAAACCAAACAGAACGATTGACCATCATTCATATGCATATTGCAGTGAGAATGAGACCAAGACCTCAAAGACGAACTAAAAGATGTTTGAAATTTTGTAATCGTCAATTACTGGCATTGTATGTCATCTCTTGGTCACCTCGTGAACAATATTCATGGTCGCTCGCCCTTGAATTTTGATATCAAGTATTGCGATTAAAACATTAAAAACACATTCATATATGACCTAGTGAGTAATACAACATTTTTGTACCATTTACCCTGAAGTACTACACAATATCATAAAATCAGTTCACGGTGTTGAAATTATTACAAATTGATGTTTTAAGTGCTGACAAATATTGACAAATTCTAGCAATTTCACTCAAGTAAATTTCTATCTCTTGTTTTAACTACAAAACAACAATGGAGTAACTTTCTCCCTGATATCAAAAGCACCCTTATCATAATAAAAGACATAAATTTAGAAGAAGAAAAGACAAAAGCAAAAAAGAAAAGTTGTTGAAAAAGCGAGATGAACTTACAGCCCAGTAATGATGATCACTGATATTCCAGCCTCCTGTGTACCTCTTGAACCCATTGAGAGGGTCTTTCCTCTGTGTTCTCTCTGCAGCTAACACAATCGATGAGCGTTCAACCGGTGCGCCGAAGGGTCCCTCGACTCCCTCCATAAGGAATCTCCCAGTCCCCCATTGATACCCCACTTCATATTTTCCATCAAAATCCCACCCTAAAAGTAAAAGAAATCAGTAAAAATAAAGGAAAATGGAAGGGAAAAGATATTTGCCTTTTGATATGTTGCTTTGAAAATTTGGAAAAATTCAATTAAAAATTTTATAGAAGGAAGTTAAGGTTATACACAAATCAAGGGTGGGAAAGGAGCTCAACTCATTACAAGCTTAAGTAAAGTTAAGAATTTTGGTGTGGGCAATGACTCCACACACTCCACAAACTCCTCACGTGTGTGTGACAACAATTATGCCAAATACAGCACAACATATTGGATGAAACATGTAGCTGTTGGACTTCACACGTCAGTCAATCTGTTGTGATAACACGTAAAACGTTGCGGTTCTACCCCAAACTAATTAACAACAAGGGAGCAAAGAGATTTTCAACTTTCCGACGTTGGACTACACTACAAATCCTCACAGATACCCGTGGACAATGTACTACCACCCTAGAAGGCAAGAAGTAAAGATTTCAAAAGTTTCAATGTCTTTTTTCTGGTGAATGAACTATGAACACAAATCACAGAAACGTGCATGATATCAAAGAAATGGAGAACCCAAATGAGGAAATGCATGGAGAAGTGAAGTAAAGTGAGTACCTGAAGTTGGTGGTGATTGGAAGGGTGGAAAGTTTGAGTCCCCATTAGAGAAGAAAACGAAAGTTGGAGAAGAGAGGAAGAGAAAAATGAGCAGAAGGAGAAGCAGAGAGGAGGGAAGAGAACCGTAATTTAACATGCTGAGAAGTCACAGAATGAGAGAGAGGCAGTGGAGAAGGGTAGGAGGAGGGACGGAAATGCTGTATACTTTCATCCCCCAATTAATCAGTATGTCGTTGTCGCTTTTGGTTTTGCGCCGAACAAGTATTTTTACAGAAATACCCTCTTCAAAGTTTTCTTGTTGGTGATTATATGGGAAAGAGTAGTTAAGGTTTTGGTATTTTAAATTTAAGAAAAATTAATCAAAAGGACTTGAAAACTTTGAGTTTTCATGATAAAGAAAAAATAAAGTATAAAGTGAATAGTATCAGGATTGACTTTTTAGTGTAAAAATGTGGTTTTTCGTTAAAATGAATAATACCGTGAATTTTTCATTATAACTCCCTTAAATCTATTTTATATTTCATGTGAAGAGTGCTCAATATGTATTTTTTGGTTTTTAGTATAGTGGAAAATTTTAATATAACCAATAGTTAGGTTGTAATAATATATGTAATCACATAAATTATATATTACCGTCAAATAATTATTATATTAAATACATATAATTATTATAGATAATTATTTAAAAGAATACTAAAAAATTAAGCCGGTACATTTATATAAGTGAGTATAACATTTTTCTTCAACTTACTGTATTTCAAATTCAAACTCTAATCTTCATATTGTTTGTAACAATAACACCCATAAAAATACACTTAATAAGAAGGGTACACTGGTCAATCTGCAAATCGATTAAAATCATGAAAAGTTCTGCTGCGGAGGTGTAGAAATTCAAAAAGGCCAGTGTTGGGTCCCAAAAACCGTGTTAGCCTTTAACGGCTCGTTCCTCGAGGAATTACCATTTTTGTCCAGGTAGGACCACAATCTCAGCCGCGTTTCTCGGTTTTCTCTTCTTCCCGCCGAAAATGTTTGGGCCTTATAAATTTTCATTTGTAAGTTGGGCTATGAGTTACAGGTCTATGGTCAATTGTTTATGCGCGTGTTTGTGAATGTTATCGGTTTGATATATTGTGAAATGGGAGCGACACATACGTCAACGGTCAAGCGATACATTTTGGGTATGCATCAAATTGGTTATTCATGTGTTTTGTAATTTAAGTGGTTAAAAACGTTTATTTTGTATCTGAAGTCCGAGATTAAGGGGGTGTATATAATTAGAATTTTAAGTGATTTTAATTCTTTTAATGAATCTAAGGGTATTGAATCAGAATTTTAAGTGATTTTCTAAAATTCAAGGTATATTTAAGATATTTTATTAAAATCTTTAGAAATTCGGGTGTACTCAATTAGGATTTTAAAGAAGTTTATAACATTTCAAGTGTATTCAATTAGAAATTAATTTTAAAGAATTTGATAAAGTTGAGGAATTAGTTATTAGAGGGAATTGGAAATATTTCGTAGTGTATTTTAAGCATCCACAAATCCCATATCTCTCCATAAGATTTCGACGGAATTTAATTAAAATTTTATATAAAATCTCTACAAATCAATTAAACTCTATAAAAATCCATAGATTTATAAATTCATTAAATTCTCTCATATTCTCAATTGAATACACCCCCTTAAACTTTGATTTTATAAGTAATTATAAAGTATGCTTAAACTTAACCCCAAATATCTCACTTTAATTACATGGCATTATGTGTTGCATATTATTTTGTCTCTCCTCTCTTTCCCTTACCCAGACATAAAAAAAGGGAGCCCAAAAGGCCCAAGTGTTGAAGAAGAAAAGAGGCCCATTATATTCTTTGACAGAAGGAAGCCCAGGAATTTTATTAAACATTTCGGCCGAGCTCACTTAAGCTGACCCAAGGATATTTTAGTCATTACATTAACTAGGGTTTCCGCATATATTCGCCCCACTCTTACTCCGCATAGATTAGGGTTTGGTTGCTCATTCAGTCTCTCTGCTTACGGCGTCGGCTTCCACCACTCTTCTCGAACCAGCTCCAAAATGGCGGAACATGTAGATCCCTCTCCCTTTCTCTCCGATGTCTCCCTCTTTCTAACTTTGCAGTTTTCTGAACCCATTACGCTCGTGAAACCTAGGAAGCACATGACCGTTAGCTTTGTAATATTTTGCACATAACAATATATATATATATTATATATACATGAAAACAAATATTTTGGGCTAGCAAAATACGAGAACAGTGTGCATTGACACCACTTGCATACAATTTGAGCCTGTTTTGGATGCTAGTAATATTTAAGCTGTTTTATGATCATCAAAAATATATTATTGTTGACGATTATATTTCAATATTTAGTTTTCTCAAATATCTCAAAAGAATTAAATTTAACCATAGTAAACTTATAAGTTGTTAATTCACTCACTCATTCCTATCGAACGTTTCCTATATATACCAAAAGGTCATTCCATAGTGAGGTGATAAAATCATGATTCACGTTAAACTGAACTATTTACATACAAATCTCATGATCGTTAATAGAAGAGTTTATCATTTTACGTCTAATTTTCTAAATTTGGGCTATTCACCAAAACAAAAAAAACAAATGAAATGGTTTGAAAACTTTGAGTTTTAATGATAAAGACAAAATAAAAGGTAAAGTGAATAGTACCAGGATTGACTTTTAGTGTAAAAATGTGGTTTTTAGTTAAAGTGAACAATATAAAGAGCTTTTCGTTAAAGTTCAAAAAAAAAATTGGTGAACATATTTGGGCCATGTTCAATCATTTTTGGGCCTTTACAGGCCCATAATGTATTCACCGACCCAACATACATACCATGTGCGCGCGCTCCCGCCCCCGGTTTTTTTTTATTTTTTGTACAAATCCGACGGCCCAGGTTCCCTTATCTTCATTTCCTTCTCCGACCTTCACAACGTCGTCGTCTCCATCCTTTCCTACCTCTGCAACATTTTGCGCAAAATTTTCCCATGTCCCGCTTACGATCCCTAATTCGATCCACACCGTCCATCCACAAACGCCTCCCAGTCCGCCACCTGTCCGCCTCACCACAACCGTCTTCGCCTCTCTCTCTGATCGCCGCGTCGAACTTCGAGTCAAACCCTCCCCAAAACCCCTTCCATGGCTCGTACCTCAAATGGATCTCGGGCTTCGCGGTGGGCTCGGGAGTAGGTCTTCTGTACTGGTCTTCCCCCGATTCCGATTTATTCAAAACGTCATCGTTCGCTGACTGGTCGACGGCGGAGTCGGGACTGGCCGTGGAGGATCGGCCGTCACGGTCCTTTTTACGGAAGTTGTCCTTGCCGGAAATTGGCCCTGGGTTTCTCTTCGGAGGCAAGTGAAGTGGCTTCTGATTACTATAAACATTTCAATTTTGTTTGTTTGTTTTTTTTTTTTTTAAATTTTTTGATTTAATTTTGTTAATTGGGTCTTGCAGATGCTTATAGGAGAAAAATTTTCTTCAACTACGAGAAGCGCATGAGGTTGTATAGTCCGCCGGAGAAGGTACTCACCATATTAATAAGATACGAGAACATAATTAATTTCAGATTATCTGTTAACTCATTGTTTATATAGTCTAATTTGGAATTTTTATCATTGCATATTAAGCCTAGGAAATAATTGACATCGAAAGGAGTTTCGAGAACTAGGTGAAAACAAAAATATAAGTTTAGTTGACAATGCCCGACGGCATAGATGTCACGATTCCTAAACACATTCCTCTAATACTGAATTCGACGCACGCTCGTTGTTTCTGTCCATTGTATGTTAGATCTCGTCTACTGTTAAGTATTGTACCTTTTCATGTTGTTTTACTAATTGTTGTTTAGGCTGTACGATGGCCATCTTAATTATTGTCACTTTTAGTTTTATTTATCCAGTATGTGCATCTATCCGTCTAACCGTTTTTTTAAATCTGTTCACTTTCTCCTTGGAACAATTATGCGCTTGAAAACTCGAGTTAAACTTTTCTTAAGGAGAATTATCTAATGATATAACTTCCTGTTGACCGATGGCTCTGTTGTTTTACATGAAGGTTTTTGAGTACTTTGCATCCTCTAGTACTGCAGATGGAGAGTTACTTATGACACCAGGAGATCTTATGAGGGCAATTGTGCCCGTCTTCCCTCCATCTGAGTCCAACCTTGTTAGAGATGGATATTTGAAAGGGGAAAGGAATCCTGGTGATTTGCGCTGTTCTCCTTCTGAATTTTTCATGCTTTTTGATGTAAACAATGACGGGCATATTTCTTTTAAAGAGTGAGTTCTACTTTTACGGGTTATGGCTCATGAAGTAAGCGGATGTTGGATCTTTTCCCCCTCTAACAATGTTCTTTGTCACAGGTATATTTTCTTTGTAACACTACTCAGCATCCCAGAATCAAGTTTCTGTGTCGCTTTTAAAATGTTTGACCTCGATGATAGTGGGTTAGTACTTGTACAAATTTCAAGCTAAGTTTCCTAATTGTTCTTCCGTGCTTCCACCATGGTTGTGAATCTGATTTGACTCTTTATATCGATACACAGACAAATTGATAAGGAAGAGTTCAAGAAAGTGATGGGTTTGATGCGAGCCTGCAATAGACAGGGTGCTTACCACAGGGAGGGACTTCGACCTGGGCTAAAAGTCCATGGTTCCGTAGAAGATGGAGGGCTTGTGGAGTACTTTTTTGGCAAAGATGGGAAGGATTCCCTCCAACTTGATAAATTTGTCAAATTTTTGAGAGATTTACAGGATGAAGTAAGTTCCCAATCCTTTTCATTCCCTTGAATTTTAGAATGTTTGATTTATGTTAAATTTTCCTAGATCGCTTTTATTGCATAAAATTGGTATTATACTTTCAGACATGAAATACCTAATATACGTTTTCTGGTGTGCATTTGTTTCCAAATTTGTGTAGAACAATTTACGAAAAGAAAGGGGGGCTTACTGAGTAAATTATGGGGACTAAATGGAAGCACCCAAATTATATTTGTAAGGACTAATATACATCTAGAAGAATATACGTAGAATTCTTCCAGTCTAGGTTTTTTGGTTTGATTTTTCAGCCTGACCTTATATTACAACAGTACGAGATTTTCGGAACTTACTTTGTCTTCATACCCATTTGGTTGATGATGCTACCTGCCATGCTTTGATTATGGAACGCTTGGAGTGCATTTTTTCCCTCAGAAATTTGTTCTTATTTGCAAACTTTGATGCATTTGTAGATGGTGAAGTTGGAGTTTTCCCACTATGACTATAAATTACGAGGAACCATATTGGCAAAGGACTTTGCTTTGTCCATGGTTGCTTCTGCCGATATGAGTCATCTAAGCAATTTGCTTGATCGGGTTGAGGAATTGAGCAATAAACCACATCTTAGAGACGTGCGAATCACATTTGAGGAATTCAAAAATTTTGCCGAGCTTCGTAAAAAATTGCAGCCTTTTTCTTTGGCTCTTTTCAGCTATGGCAAAGCCAATGGGATGCTAACACGAGAGGATTTCCAACGTGCTGCTTCTCATGTATGATGCTGATATTTGTTTATTTCTTTGATCTCCATAGCAACAGATTGTGGTATCCAAATTATTTATCGTAATAATGTTGATTGAATGATGTGTACAATATCAGGTTTGTGGCGTATCTCTCACTGATAACGTGGTGGAAATCGTCTTCCAATTGTTTGATTTCAACCAAGATGGAAATTTAAGCTTGGATGAGTTTGTTAGAGTTTTACAGCAGCGGGGAAGGGACATTGCTCAACCCGTGGAGACGGGAGTCATGATTCATGACTCTTAAACCTGGCTACTTGGACCTGTCGGTTGACGTTAGGATGATACCGGTTTGATAGTTCAAGGGGGCTCAGTCCTCTTGTAAATTCGTAAAGCTTAACCTGTAAGTTGCTAAGATTAAATTGTAGCTCTAACGGCAACTACAGTCAACTGTTGTAGTGCTCCTTTGATAGAAACTTGTGTCTCACATGTCGTACACATCTCTATCTCTCTAATCACGTGCCAAGAGAAATAAAGAGAGGAGGAGCATACAACATGTGATGCGTAAGTTATTTCCGAAACTCTGGCCTACGTTTAATGTAAAAGTCTGAAGTTCCATTATGTGGAATGCGTATTTAGAGAAAATGCTTTGTTATGTTTCTAGCTATTCCACAAAAGAAACTGAAAAGATGTGAATCATTGTTACGATTCACAGATTGCTTCTGTTAATGTCGTCTTGTTTCTTTTTTTAATAAGCTATGAACGTTGTGTTTCGTTTAAACCAATTATTACATCCCGTGGAATCAGAGTGATTCATAAACTAAAACTCATGTTGGAAAATGTGGAGAAATTTTTGCGTCCGACAGTCCGGACCTCATAAGCCATGCGGCAGGCTCACAAAAACAGCGGGACGGTCTGTATTTGGTCCCGGTAACCCCAGGTTGGTCCCGGTCGGGTGAGTCTGATGCCCTCTACCGGCTGCCGCACACAAGAACCCCTCCATGTGAGCTGCCAATACATGTAGGTCAACATTGCCACCGTTATTACCTGCATTATTCGAGCATCCCCACTGATATATATGCCAGCACCATCACACCAGGCGCCAGCTTATCTCAATCATCACTGCACTTCACATCCCACATAATATTTGTAATGGCAAATCTACCAAACACACAATCGTCATGAGGATGACATCTGCTATGAAAACAAGGACAACCCTGTGTTGCAGTTAGTCGCACACGTGCACGTGAATGATTTCTCGCTATTGATCTATAGTGGATTCTGCACAATGGTCGAGATTCATCCGTGCCTATGCCACTGAACATATATCACTGTCCATCAAGACAATGCTACAAACCAATAAAGTTAGAAAATTGTTGTAGGAATAAAAAGAAAATTGTGGATTTAGACGATTTCCTTACTTGAATTTACTGATTTAGTAACAACTTTATACATAAGTGACGTAAAAATGGTTGATGTTGTTTAAAACAATGATCACTCGAGTGCTTGGATCGCTGATCATCCGAACAATTGTTCCTAAAATAATTGACGTTGTGTACACAATCATAAATTGGATCGTTTCTCTATTTGTTGCTGCAATTGGGATGTTCGATGCTCGATAGTAGCGTTTAGCATATACAAACAAAAGGTTTTTCTTAGATATGGCGCGGAAAAAACCAAAAAACAAGTGGTGGCGGGGCAAACTAAATACGGCGGTTAATGACACGCGCGCTCCTGGACGGTGGGAACGACCATGCCACTTTGGAAGGTTGACCTGGCCACTTTGGAACGTGGACTTTGCTTGGGGAAACCCTAGGGAGAGGGAAATTCCCTTTCCAGGGGGGAATGATGCGTCGTTCCATTTGCATTTTCTTGTGCAGCCACCGATATCCACTCTGTTTCTCTCCCAACAATTCCAATACCCCAGTCATTAAAATTCAATCAAATTCTGATTTGGGTTTTTCTTTCTCTCTGGATTAGCATCCACCAATTGCTGGTTCGGAGCTCTTAGAACAGCAACCAGGTTAGTGAGAAATTTTTTCCCTATTTTTTGTGGTTAATTTCTGGAATTAAAATTTGGGGTCTCGGTGTTTAATCTCTGGAATTTTGATTGAAAATTTGTGTGTACAAATTACTTTAGCTTCAATTTTTGGGTAATTTTATTTTTTTGTCTGTTAATTTGTTACAGTTGTTTTTGGTCACCATCATGCATGAATTTGAATTGGGTTTTACCAGATACAATTGATTGATTTTTGTATGTTCCTTGGTTTTTTGGGTGTGTGAATTGTTATAGGAATATCAAATGGGAAAGCCAATTGGGAAGAAGAAAGATCATGAGGTTCAAAAGCCAGGGAATGCTGGCAGTAAGCACAGCAAGTCCTCGGATCGAAACTCAAAAGCCTTTGATGAAGACACTGCAATCTTCATCAACATGTCCTATGAACTCAAAGAAGAAGGTAACAAGCTCTATCAGAAGCACGATCACGAAGGTGCGATGTTGAAGTATGAAAAAGCCCTCAAACTCCTTCCACAGAATCATTTTGAAGTTGCTCATCTGCATAGCAGTATGGCAGCATGTTATATACAAATGGGTATTGGGGAATATCCTCGAGCTATCAACGAATGTAATTTAGCGTTAGAGGTATCGCCGAAGTACAGTAAAGCACTGTTAAAAAGAGCATATTGTTATGAGGCTTTGAATAGGTTGGATTTGGCATTGAGAGATGTTAATGCTGTGCTGAGTATGGAACCGAATAATCTAAGTGCGTTGGAGATTTTGGCGAGTGTGAAGAGGGTGATGAATGAAAAGGGTATTGTTTATGATGAGAAAGAGATTGGTATTGCTAATGTACAGAAGCCTACTGCTGCTCGTTTTCGTAAGGTGGTGAAAGAGAAGTTGAAGAAGAAGGGTAAGAAAGTTGAGCAGAAGATGGAGGATAAGGTCGTTGTGGAAGAGAAGGTGAGTGCTGATAAGGATAAAGAAGTGGTTACAAAGGCTGTTGAGGAAGATAAAGTGGTTACGAAGCATGTTGAGGAAGAGAAACTGTTTACAAAACATGTGGAGGAAGAAAAAGTAGTTGCAAGGCCAGTGAAGCTGGTGTTTGGAGAGGATATAAGGTGGGCACAACTGCCAGCGAATTGTAGCATGGGGTTGGCAAGGGAGATAGTTAGGGATCGATTTCCTGGCTTGAAGGGTGTTCTTGTTAAGTATAGAGATCAAGAGGGTGATTTGGTTACAATCACTACCACCGATGAGTTGAGGATAGCTGAATCTTCCTGTGATATGCAGGGCTCACTTAGATTATTCATATCAGAAGTCAGTCCTGATCAAGAACCAATTTACGAGGGATTGAGTGATGGGGAGGTGAGTATGGAATACAAAAAACCAAGTAATGTTGTAGAGAATGGGGATACTGAAAACGATAGAGTAGTGGAAAAAAGGTCTACTTCTGTTGAGGATTGGGTTATCCAGTTTGCACGATTGTTCAAGAACCATGTTGGGTTCGATTCTGATTCGTATTTGGATCTTCATGAGCTTGGTGTGAAGCTATACTCAGAGGCAATGGAGGATACTGTAACACTTGAGGATGCTCAAGAACTTTTTGACATTGCTGCAGATAAGTTCCAAGAAATGGCGGCTTTGGCATTGTTTAATTGGGGAAATGTCCACATGTCTAGGGCAAGGAAACGAGTTTCCTTTCCTGAAAATGCTTCAAGGGAAACCATTACTGAACTGATCAAGGCTGGCTATGACTGGGCAAAGAAAGAGTATAAGAAGGCAGAGGGTAGGTACGAAGAGGCTGTGAAAATAAAACCCGACTTTTATGAAGGTTATCTTGCTCTGGGGCAACAACAGTTTGACCAAGCAAAGCTTTGTTGGTACTATGCTATTGGAAGCAAGAATGAGCTAGAAACAGAGCCTTCTTCGGAGGTGCTTCAGCTTTATAACAAGGCTGAGGACAGCATGGACAGGGGCATGCTGATGTGGGAGGAGATGGAAGAGCGGCGTCTAAATGGACTGTCCAAAGAAGAAAAATATAACACCCAATTGCAGAAATTGGGTTTGGATGGCCTAATTCAAGAGGTATCTGCTGATGAAGCTGCTGAGCATGCTGCAAATATGAAGTCACAGACATACCTCTTGTGGGGAACCTTGCTGTATGAGCGTTCCGTTGTGGAATATAAGTTAGGGCTACCTACTTGGGAGGAATGTTTAGAAGTTTCTGTTGAAAAGTTTGAACTTTGTGGAGCTTCTCCAACAGATATTGCCGTGATGATAAAGAACCACTGTTCCAATGAAACTGCATTGGAAGGTAAGTACCGCATGTTAATGCAAATTTTTTTCGGCTTTTAGAATTTAGAGCTGTTCGAATTTGAGACCTTCATTCAAATGCAGGTTTAGGGTTCAAAATTGATGAGATAATACAGGCATGGAATGAAATGTATGATGCTAAAAGGTGGCAATTTGGTGTTCCCTCTTTCCGGCTTGAGCCATTGTTGCGTCGGCAAGTTCCAAAACTTCATTCTATCTTGGAGCATGCTTGAAATTTTTGTTTATAGTTGGTATCCTTTCGAGGCTTTGCACAAATGCCTCAGGTTGCCTCAGTTCAACTTTTGCAGGTTGCGTGGTTGCACAGGTAACTTGTCCTTTCGAATTAAAGCATGTCAAAATTGTCTTTGTTACACCTAAAATATTGATTTGATTACAGTTTGAATAGCTGAATTCTGATGGGATTGATATGGATTTTAGAGAGTGCAAAATATGTTGAAAAGCCATTTTTTAACCAAAGACATGTTTTTAACCTGACACATAAAACTTAAATGCAGTCGTTGTGGTCTGGCTTGTCAAGTACTTTAGGGCATGTTTGATAACTTCTCATTATTAGTTTTAGTTTTCATTTTTGTGTTAGAGAGAGATTGGAATACATAGGAATGACATGTATAGCGAAATATGCAAATGGAAACTTAAAACCAAAAGGCTTTTAAGTTTTAGCTTTCAAGATATTGTTTTGTTCATTCATCTTATGTCTTCCCCCATCTCTCCATTTTTCCATATACTTTCCTCACATCTCAAGCACGAAAAGTGAAAATTAAAAACTAATAACGAAATGGGTATCAAAAGGGCTCTTAGTTTACCAATCATTAAGTGATTGTTTTTTATTATAATTTTATAATACTTCAAATCTTCATGGTCGGTGCAAAATCACACGAGTATGACTGGATTGAATGAAACATAATCTCTCTAGTTTCTTTTCTTTTGGTGATTGCAGGTCTTTTTCTTTTCTGTCAGTGGACTGTTCGTTCATCTTCTTGTTTGCTACGGGAGCAAACAGAAAGTTTGCATAGTTTTTGAATTCCGAGTGAGGGTGATCGGGTCCCAAAGTCATCGATCTCATTTGTTTCGTTTGTTGTAAGAGTCGTTAGAGTAATTTTCCACAGATTGGGGTATAGGGTATATGATTGTTTGGATTTGTTGGTTCAAAGAATAAGCAAAGTGGGAAGTTGGTGGCATAATTTTGCTTGTTACTCACTCAGCCTGCTCGGCCAGATTTGTTGTTGTTTGTCGTCATGTCGTTTGTAAGTTGCAATTCTTGTAAACTTTGTAAGCTTTTGTGATTGTTATAAAATAGCAGTGAAAGATTTTATTCCTTTACCTTTACAAGAGATACGGAGATTTTTACTATGCTTCGGTCTATGACATGCACCAGAGGAACGAGAGGCTTGACGGGTGGCCAAGGATTCCCGTGTATCGTAATCTCTTGTGCATACTAGAAAAACCATGCTTAGTATCAGTCTACTTGAGGAATTATCTACAGGAAAACAACTTTGGTAGCCGGCATCGTACCTCGGCTTACACAATCACGTGATAAGAAATATAGATTAGAAATTTTTGTTCCTAATTTGATTGAGCCTCTTGTGAACTGTATATCTCTCTCTCTCTCTTATAATGTGCTCAGTCATGTAACGATTTAGTCGCTTAAAAAGTTTTACTCCAAATTCCAGGAACAATTAGACTAACATGGTAATATAACATGGCTTAGAACGTCTTAAGTTTTGAAATTTTGGTTCGAGCAATAACTATTATTTCCGACATGTTAATTTAAACTACGAAGAGCATGATTAAAACTTGAACATACAAGAACAACTTCAGAATGACTTAAAAGTGCTTTTAAAATGACTAAAAGAGCTTTTAGATAATATTTTTAGGTGTCAAAAGTACTAGTAAACACTTTTTTAAGAATTCACTTGTATTTTAACTACAATTTATTTCATAAACATTTCACAAAAATTACTTTTTATCTACTTTAAAACAAACTTTAACATCATAATATTTCGATTTAATAATACACCGTCTTATACTAGAAAGAAACTTCCAAGTGCTACGAAGACGGAAGTAAGACGGAACGTCACGGAAGTACTCGTTTCAGTAACAACACGTCACCCCACCCACTCCAAAGTCCAACTTCCAAAAGCCGTCTCCTCCCATAAGAAAGGTAACTTGTAGAAGCATCATCTCAGATTCTGATTTCTGTCCGTCTCTCTCACTCTCTCACTCTCAGTTTTACCTTCATTCGTTGCACCTGATTAGGGTTTCGTTTATTCTCCCAAATTCCATCCATGGAGAAAGTCCGAAGAGCATCGCACGCCGGTTCTTGGTACACCGACAATCGTCAGTCTCTCTCTCTCTCTCTCTCTCACTTTCTGAGAAAATAACACCCCTCTGTTTGATTTTTTTGGCCTCCTTGAATACAAGAAGCGGAATTAGTGATTTGGGTCGGCAGTAAAACTAAAAAGTCATCAGATTTGGAGCTTTTGAGAAAATTAATTCATCCGATCAATTTGTGTGAAAAAAATCAGTTTTTAATCTAAAGGTTTTGATTTTTCAGCTAAGAAGTTATCAGAAGAGATTGAAGGATGGCTGAGAGCATCTGGGCTCAATAAATCTCCTGATGTTCGAGGTGTCATTGCTCCGTAAGTTCATACTTTTGCTGTTTCTGCTTTTTTTTTTTTTTTTTTTTTTTTTTTTTGTGTGTGTTTAAGCACTAATTAGTTGAAAACTAAAACTTATTTATTTACGTTTATTGTGGTGGGTGGCTCTGGGATTACAGGCATGCAGGGTATTCTTATTCTGGTCGTGCCGCTGCCTATGCATTTGGCAACATTGACCCAACAAACATGTAAGTTGTGTTCTTCTCGGGTTGTCTGTGATTAGTTCTCTCTAATACTGTTTTGATCATGTAGTGTAAAAATATGAGCTGATTATGTTCAGATAATTGTGCGTTGACTCATGATCGAACCTGTAAAGCTTGATTGGTATGGGAAATTAGCTGTCTTCGAATTGTTAGATTACTGACTAACTTGCCTTTTCAGTAAGCGGGTGTTCCTGCTCGGTCCATCTCACCACCATTACACTCCAAAGTGTGCTCTTTCTACGGCCACGGTTTACAAGACCCCCATTGGGGACCTACCTATTGATTTGGAAGGTACTGTGATTCTTGTTTACACCTTTAGCAGTGAATGCAGCAGCATGACCTGATCGCAAAATGTAGGGATCATGTCTATTGTTTGTGCCCATTTCTCTGTTTCCCATTTTAACCAACACCTACGTATTAATAACATAACAATGAAAATATCACATGTTTCATTTACAGGAATTTACTACTTTCCTGTTAGTTTTTGTGATGGTTTTCTAAAATTCAGTTTGTTTTCACTTGTCAGTGATTGAGGAGCTTAAAGCTTCTGGAAAATTTGATCTGATGGATATTCGCGTTGATGAGGCTGAACATAGCATGGAAATGCACTTGCCTTATCTTGCTAAAGTGTTTGAGGGGTATGTTTATTCGCTATAGTTTTATTTATTGTTCTCATATAGCAGAGTTCTATTTTATAATCCTCTTTGGCGTGGCTGACTTTTTGACGATACTGATGCAGGCACCAAGTTAAAGTTGTACCCATATTGGTTGGTGCTCTTAAAGCTGAAAGTGAAGCCATGTATGGACAGTTCCTTGCGAAATATGTGGATGATCCACAAAACTTCTTCTCTGTGTCATCAGATTTTTGTCATTGGGGGTCTCGGTATGTTCCAGTCATGGTTCTATATAGGAACGAGTATTGGCATTGTTAGCTAAATTGACTGCTACTTTTGTCCAAGATGTCAGTGCATATCTACACTTATGCATGCAGACATGCATCTTCTGCAATATGCATTAAGCACCTCTCTCTCTGTCTCTGTCTCTCTCTCTCACACACACTCACACCCCGGTGCGTGAGCAAGCAAACTTGCATTCACAAACACAACTTTTTGTTACAGTAGGACAGTTAGGGAGACTTTTAGAGCTTATATTTTGTTTTGTCTTTGTTCCAAGGAAAATAAAGCAATTTAAATGTTTCTTCATGGATGCTATGTCATGGTATCCTTAGTTTTGTTACATGATATTTGATTGTTTTGCTAATTTTCTTCTCTTGCCATGCTTTGTGCACATATAATTGAAGCCAGACTGTTACTTGTTTACCGTGCCTAATCTTGTTATTCTCTCTCAGGTTCAATTACATGCACTATGACAAGAAACACGGGGCCATACACAAATCTATTGAGGCTTTGGACAGGATGGGAATGGAAATAATAGAAACTGGAAATCCAGATGCGTTCAAACAGTATCTTTCGGAGTTTGATAACACCATTTGCGGGCGCCACCCAATTAGTGTTTTTCTACATGTAAGTGCCTCAAGTATTCCCTTTAATGTCTGAAGAGGAACAAGTTCAAATAGATTCCCTCAAATTTGGCAAAGGACATTAACCAATACAAGAATATGGCACCCCAAATGAAACAGGGTAAAACCTGTTTTAGGATTATATTGCTGTTTTCAGCTTGAAAAGCTATGCCTATCATGAAAAAGTACCAGTGTCGTTCCTGTTTCATTGACCTTTATACCATTTTGTCTGGAGACAAATAAAAGGTATGCTAGGAACTCGGTAATCAAATTGTACAATACTGTAACGAAAGCAACCTAAAGATATCCCCGTTATGTTTAGCACTTACCTATTCGATATTGACACACTGAAGTCACCAAAATCATGTTGAGAGGGAAAATGTTAGGGAGATTCCATTTTTTTTCAAGAATTGTGCTTAGTTTTCCTAGACTACAAAATGTTTCTTCATTGATCATTGCTCATAACTTGTTGGACTATATTTCTCAATGTATTCAGATGCTGAGGAATTGCTCAACAAAGATAAAGATCAATTTTCTCCGATACGAGCAGTCAAGTCAGTGCAAAACTACGAGGGACAGCAGCGTAAGTTATGCATCTGCGGCAGCAAAGGTAGATGCTTAAAAGATGTACTATCCTTTAAGACATTCAGCAATTTGATTTTCATCGAATTCATTTTAATGTTCAACTTAAAGTAAATATGCATTCATGAACAATCATCGGGTTCGCGTGCCCCTGCATGTAGATTGATACTAGTAATGGATTGCCCTCGCTGATTTCTTATATTTAGTATTGGATCGGATTATGTTTTGGTTATCATCATTTCTCCCAAGGACAAAAACGATACGGTTGAAATGTAGCCAAGGTCATATTGACACCCTCCGACCTCCACTACCTCAGACCAACCATTGTACATGTGTTAAGATCTCGTTGCTCCAACAAGAAAACGGACAAATCTGGTAAGCCTAACCGATTGTTTACGGTGTTGGTTGAGCAGAAGCCAACCGACGGTGGCCGTTGGGTTGGCAGTTACGGGGTGGGGGTGTGTCGAACCGAACCAAGCCTACGCCTAGTCAGTTTTAAACAAAGTCTTGACCTATAGCATAAATTTTTCTCCCCAAATTTTACATATCATTCAGATGAGGAAAAATTCGAAAAAGCTAAGGCTTTCAGAAGCTCACTTGAAAGTTGAAGGCTCAAGTGACGAGCACAATAAGGATCCTCCCCGGATCCTCTTTGTGAGGATTCTGGAAATCTTCCAATCACGTCCGTTCATCTTACATCGTGCGGTCATAAATCATTGTAAATTTTTTATTTAAAATTGAATATAAATGGTACGTAATAAAAACTAATCGCACGATATACGATAAATGGACGTAATTGGAGGATTCTCGGGATCCTCACAAAGAGGATCAGGAGAGGATCCTCATTCCACAATAACAATGTAACTAGTCTCCAGTTTTTAGCTCTACACAACTTTCACTCTTACATATAAATATACGCTTCGTGACCCTTTACAGATAGGAAGTGATTCATCCTTGCCAACTAATCACAAATTGACAGATATACTGAAGTGACGAGCCAAAACACTATGATTGGTAAGGAAGGAATGATCCTTTTCGAGAAAGGGAAAGAAATGATCCTTAGATATAAAGAGGCAAAGTATTTTTCATATGGAAACGATATTCGCCCACGCTTTTTCGTTCTCAGACCCTGTTTATTCATGTCCCTGCCCTTGATAAGTTTTTCAATTCAAAGGACACAAATAAATATAGGTGAGTTATGGAAAAAAAAGTGCTTGCAGAGTGAATGCTAGGAAGTAGGGAAAAAGGAGCAGAAAACATGGGGACTTTAATTTTTAGTTTTTTTATTTATTATTGTTTAATTAAAATTATCCTTATTATATTAATGATCTTCCATTTCGGAGGGTTATTCAGTTGCAATTTTTATGAATTTTAAAGGAGTTATAAATCTAAGGAGTTTGACAGAGTTTTAATAGACTTTTATAGAGGCTATGAATTTCGAGTGAATTCACACTCAGATTTTTAGGGTACTTTAATAAATTCTTTTGAAATTGTAATTGAATATTCTTCAACTTTCATGAATTTATTTAAAATTCTGATTGAAAATCCATAAAATTTTAAACTTTTTTAAAATCTTTTGAGATTTCCAAATCAATCCATCTTTGGGCAAAAGGTTAAATAGAAAATTAACAAATAGAAGTGTTATTATTCACCTCTGACAATTTTTACAGTTATTCTGAATTGTCGTCAATTAAATTTGACATGTAACCCTAATACATAACGTTGAACCTCTAATATGGCCCACTACAACATTGCCCCAACCATTTCTTTTCAAAGAGAGTTATCGTGTAAATTAGTTTTGAACTCGTCATCCACAAGATTTGAAGCTAAACCCTATTACTAAGTGACAACGAGAGATTTGTATATAGGTTTCATTCTGACCTTGCCATTCGGTAGGGAGTGAAAATAGTTCTTCCACAACAAATAACTCATGCTTTCATGTGGGAAGTGGGAAACGACTAACTCAATTTTTATTTTTTTTAACAAACGATATTATCTACACTAAAGGGGTGGGAAAGTGGAAAACAACATCCTACCTACTGATTACACATGACTACGAACCAATATTCAAAAAGTCTGAAATGCAACTTGTTTGCGCAGAGGAAGTGACACACCCCGACCCGGAATGTCCACTAGGATCCCAAATCGAGCTGTGTTGGCCGACATCTGGAAGGTGACGAAGCCATAAAGTGTGATAGTGTATAAAATGTGAATAAATTTGAACCTAAAAGTGTCTAAATACCAGAATGCGCTACGAATGGGAGCGATCCCATTTCACACGCGATGCTAGAGCATAAGTAAAGTACAATAGTGTGGGTAAGAATCATACCCTTAAAAGTAGCCACGAATACTAAGATTAGGCATATATCCTCGTCGATACGAACTCAGCAGTTAAAACTTGAAGGGGGTACAAAACAGAAAGTGTGAGTAAGCAGTAAAACCAAGCTTCCCAAAACTATTACCTTTTTAACAGTAATAACCCTTCACTGTAATTCCCTTATCGTTTCCTATAGGACAGTACTTCACACACACACACACACACACACACACACATATATATATATCTATATATCCACCCATGCTAATGAAATGGCCAAAACCACGGTTATGCCGTGTCCATAGACTCTACAATGCATTAACAAGTACGCCAAATGAACTTAATCAATATAAAATGATACATCAGCTGTAATCACCTAACGTGACCCGTACGACTGTACTCATATCTCATCAATCAATGCAAGCATATAAGTCGGGAGTCATCTTTAGTGACCTGTACAACTTATCCATATCTCATCAAGCATCCCTGCACACGAGTCGGAACCACCTCTAGTGGTCTGTACGACGGGACTGGGTGTAAATAAGTACGCTCAAGTGCTACGATCACGTGAAGTCTGGGCGAATAATCGCGGGTCACCTACAAGTCGGAATCACTTATAGTGGTCTGTACGACAAGCCTGTGCACCTACCTTGAGTCCAAGGTGAGCGTAAGGTGCGAGAGGTGAACATCACGTGAAGGACTGTGCCCTGGCCACGGGCGAGAGCACTAACACCGGGGTGCAGGTTTATGAGCTCTCAATGCATCTCAATATAACATGTACAACTTATGGCAACCCATACGACAATATCGGAGTTGCCTAACACATAAATGTAGTCATCCTATAACTCCATCAATTCAACTAATACCATAAACTCACCTGAATTTACCTGAGTGTCCTGCGTTCACCTTTGCACTTGAAAGCATGCCCAATAATTATGTGCAAGTAATATACATATGGATATACCATGATGCAATCTAATACTCAACCATGTCGTAGCATTTTCAATTATATACAATACGGTGTGAAATGTACAACCAATAACGCCTTACTCCCGAACTACTTATTTTCAGGGATAATTATCCATGACAACCCAATTAACACTAACTTAACTAACTAATTCACAAAACTAAAACTTGTCTTTACCAATTTCCTTCGCGTTACTCAATTTCCCAAATAAGGCTTTTGTCTCAAATATATTATGGCTGCATCTAACGTCTCGTTAGACTGCCAACGTACCCTAAACATGGATCAAGTCATTCGTAGTTCATATTAGTACTTCAAGCATTCACAATAATTATATGAAGGTAATATACCTAATCAATTTAAAAGTGTCGATGGAACTATCAATAATATGTACGATAAAAGGAAAAGGTCCACTCACCTGGAGTCCACGCTATGATTCTCTAGCGCACGCATCGAGTCGTCCTGAATGATTGGTGCCTGCCACGAAGTCCAAAAGTGGATGGAAGATGGTCAATTTTGCCCACAAAGCTGGCGGGTGCCTAAAACTTCCCGACGTCGATTCGTCATCTACGGTGGTCTAACGGGGTCAAGGTTGGTTAAGTTTTGCTCCTGGGATGATGGGCTACAAAGCCCAAGTGGTAGCATCGGCCATCACTTTGCCGATTTGCCGGAAAATAAAAAAGGATGCCCGGAGCACCGTGAGAACCGCCAACTTTCGTGGCCTTAAACCGCCACATACCGTGGTTAATCAAGGTGGTTCTTGGGTGGGTTTGTAGAGGGGAATGAGAGCTTCAAGATGGTGGTGATGGTGTCGAAAAATCCATCGGAGTTGGCCGGAATAGGCCTTGGAAAATGAGTGGTTGCGAGGGGAAAAATGCACCGGAAAGCTGGGAGCTTTTTTTTTTTAATGTTTTTTTTTTTAATTTTATATTCTTTCTTTTTGATTGGCTGAAGGCTTTCCTCCTCTCCTCTAATTGGTTCCTTGTCCCTTTAATTTAATTGGTCCACTATTCCCACAAGGTGGGAATTCAAATAATTTTTATAGCTAAACTTTAAATAACCATTTTCAAACGTCCATAACAATACTGTTATAATCCGGACTCGCAAACGGCTTTCGCCTATGCGCTCACACCAACGAGTACTACGAGAATATGCTAAAAGAATAAATCATATGTCTCTCTAGACGATGGTCAACATAAGTCAAAATCTTTGCCTCTATGGCATTTTCGTAAATTCACGCTTTTAAAATAAAATAAAAATGTAAAATTTAAAACGGGTTGTCACAGGAGGTGCTAGAGGTGCTAGTCGAATTAATAATTCATTAATATTGCTAAAAAGGGGCTAATAATTCATTAATTTCACCAAAGTTAAATGTTTTAGTTAATTACTCTTCCAGTGCCTGCCTCCAGAAAGTCGTGCCAACATAGCTCAAAAATGACGTTCGTGGTAGTTGTCAGCACTGTGGTGAATTCAGTTTTCAGTTAATGTTTTGTGTGCCTGACTCCAAAAAGTCGTGCCAACATAGCTCAAAAATGACGTTCGTTGAGTAGATGTTGTCAAGTATTCTTCTGCCTCGTAGAAATCTCCACGAATGAAATATTCTTCCAAATACGGCAAGCTGAACCAGATTCTCGCTCCAGGCTACCCATATAAATAATTAATGCAGTTAAAAAAATCATTACTTTTTGTTAACCCAATGATAGTAATCTCACAAAAATTGATAAACTATGATGATTATTGTACGTTGCATTTGGCTTGATGTGAAATTAAATTAAAAAATAAAACTCACGCACGATCTGTTTTTCCACAACTGTTGAGGTCAAAGTATTGTAGAATGGAGTAAATTGCATGTCCTTGTGAAATAGCAGCCATATTGTAGCTACTATATTATTTACTCCATTCTACAATACCTTGACCATAACATATAGTAGTTATGCTTTGATTCCTAAACGTCAAAAGGCGTCAAAAATCAGGATATAACACCAGAAAAATGATAATTTACACACTATCTAGGTAGATCTTAAATGAAAGATAACATCATCTTAAAAAAATTGATCATATCATCCACAACCAAACATGTACAATAATATTATCCACTAAAACGTACCATAACATCTACATGCGAGCTAGCTAGATGCCTGTAATTAAAATTAAAAAAAGGAGTTGTGGGAGCTTATGCTCTAGTGGCAAAACGTTTTATACCACATTCACAGCAAAAGTTCGACTCACCAACAACCCTTTGAATTAAAATCAATAGGATTTGGTAAATCCTCTATAAAATAAAAAATCCAATTCTTAGGAAACAATATGAATTCGATATCTTATATAATTAAATATAATGGATATGATGTAGATCTAGGCATGCGTTATATTTGAAAAACTAATTACGAAAGAGCACTCAATATTTTCGACATAAAGTAGCAACTTTCTTAAGGAAAATTTCTTATTTATTGGCTAGTGGATTCTTTTCAATATATTTCTTATGGAAGCATATTTTTAGGGATATAAATTCTTAGCTGATGCCATCACAAGCGTTGGACTTAACATACCAAATACGCATATGAAGGATAGAACTTTATCTATTGTTGTTTGAAATGTTTTCATATATGACTGTATTGGAACATGTTGTAGCCGTGGATTCTCTAGTTAATTAAAAAAATAATGGCATAGCTTGAACTTTGTCAAAAATAACTTTTAAACTTTAAAAATATTTGACAATGAGTCTTGTGTTAATTAATAAAGTTATAGCATAGCCGCACAATTGATTTTCACAATTATTTTTATCTCTTACACATCTCTTTATTTCCAACATTAAAATTAAATAAATCAAAAGAAACAAACAAACAAGATTAAACATGAGTGTGTAAAAGAAAAATATTACGTATTTATCACTTCTCTACTTTTCAACCAATATTATATAATATATGAACGACGAAATGAAATGAAATAATTATGAATACCATTTTTTGATGTAGTCTTATAATCAAGAAAGACTTATTTTTAACTATGATACTTGCACTTTATACAAAATCTCACTTTTATCACTTATTTGCTCATTTTTTGTATCTCAATTTATCCTATTATGTTAACTTGGTTACATAAACCATTAAATTGTTGCCGTGACATGAATATTTTGGTAAATTTGCCTATAATAATTAAAAAATAAATATAAAATTGACTAAACAAAAAACCCAGCTTATCACCCCCACCACCTGTAAATTCCGATCGGATTTGGAGATCAATTCTCATAGGCTTCATGGTTAGACCATTTTTTGTAGACCGTATGATATGACAGTTGATGATTGGATTATTTTTTTAAATGATTTAAAAAAGAAGTTCAAATATCAACCATCACATCATGTGGTTTATAAAATATGATGTCTCTCATCACCCAAGAGATTTGAATTAAGCTACAAAATATTATAATAATTTAGTGTCAAACTTGTCACCTACCTAAATCTAATTTAAAAACTTTCATTTATAATAAAAAATATCTCTAAACAGTAGTGTTAAAGACAACCATCATTATGTGATTAAATTTTAATTGATAAAGCATAGTGAATTTGTACGAAATAATAAGTTCTTTAACTTATACAATAGTCTCGAACTCGTAGGTGGCAAGAGTGTATGATAACGACACTGATAGGAACATGTGCTTATATAAGCACAGTACAGAGGTCAGCTTTATCCAAGCTACTGTCCAAAGTGGTGGGTCCCGGTTGGTGCGACTGGAGAGGTGGCTGAAAGAAACGTACACGCTTGTTTACCATGCCGAGGTTCAGGAGGAATTCTTTGTTACTTTCTACTTCAATTTCTTCTTCTCATCGCTACAACCAAGATTTGCCTTCAATTTTCTAAATTTATTTTCTCTTGGCTACAAGCAATTTCTTTTCATTTTTTAATAAAAAAAATCTTTAACTTTTTATTAAATGAACACATGTATTTTAATTTTCTCTCAATCGTTTATAGACACATAAACCAAAAAAAAATATATATATATAGAATTGTTAATTTTCAAAATTTCCAAATTTCACCACCTTCACACTAAAGGTTAAATGGAGAAATAATATAAAAGTTGGAGTTATTATTCACGCGGTTTATGACGTTATTTTGCCTTCTTGACAAATAATTTTACTCTTATTCCCAATTGTCATGAGTAAAATTTAACATGCTGTATTCATATCTTTTTATTTTGGACATTTAGCATAGACTGTCTAAGCCCAATCTTTTATGATAAACTCTTAACAAACACACTCTTAATCATCTAGCTTAGCCCAATACTGTATTGCACAACCGATTCAAGTTAATAAGTAATGGCTGACTTTGAGAACTTTAACGAAAAGTTCTTGGTACTGTTTACTTTAACGAAAGACTATTTTTTTACACTAAAAAGTCAATTCTGGTACTATTCACTTTACCCTTTATTTTGTCTTTATCATTAAAACTCAAAGTTTTCAAGTCATTTTCATTAGTTTTCCTAATTTTAATTAATAGAAGATACATTTATGTTCAATGTACACTAACTAGCAAAACACCATCACATCAAACAATGTCCTGCCAGCCTCCTAATTACATATAATTACGACCCATATCCGAAGCCTGGAATAAGCCTGAAATGGACTTGTACAAGCAACGGAGTTGTTGGAGGTTGTAATGCTGCTATAGATGCTCGTCGAATTAGCAGAATTGCGGGTGGTGGAGGGAGTGCTGCTAGATTGGCAAGGCCGCCGCTACTGTAGTCGTTCGGAATTCGATATCGAATTTTCCCAACCAGCAGTGGATTCGCCTCCAAACATCTCCTTATATCTATCATCGCCGCAGTTCTTGCTTCTATGAGGTCTCCATAGCCCTGAAGTCGTAGGTAGATTCTACATGCAGAAAGCAAAGCGCGATTTATGAAAAATAAAAAAATCAGTCGTATAAAGCAGTAACTACTTTAGTGTATGTGCAATCACAACGATCGAAATTGTTCATTTAAAAGAAAAAAATAATATCTCTCATTAAATGCTCAATTAAGATGGTACAAATAGCAAACGTCGTCGTTTTCTTTACCTAACGTCGTGTAAGTTCATAATCTCGGTCGCCTGTGCAATCAGGTTTTGATTGTACGGCAGGAGGGTTGTGAGTTCTTCATGGAGAAGTTCATTTGCTTCCTCATAGTTATTACTGCATGGGTACAAAGTTATAAGTAAATATAATTAACATTGCTAAAACGAACTAATATTTCGTTAATTCCATTAAATGTAGGGTTTTAATTAATTACTCGTCCAGTGCCTCCAAAAACTTGTACCAACGAAGCTCAAAAATGACCTTCGTTGAATAGATGTTGTCATGCACTGTGGTGAAGCCGTTGAAGTACTCTTCTGCCTCGTCAAACTCTCCGTGAATGAAACATTCTTCAAAATATGGCAAGCTGAAGAACAAGCCGGATTCCCTCTCAAGTCTACATGCATAAAGAATAGTGTAGTTATTATGATCATAAATAAAAAGGAAAGACAAGTAAAAGGATCTCAACCCCAAGACACAAATGATGACAAGCATCTACACACGCGTTGATGGTTGCTAGCCATTATTACGTGTGAGATTTATACTAGGGATCTCAAGTACGTAAATGGCTAACAATCATCTCGCGCGCATAGACAATAGTTATTCTTGGCATTTGTCTTGAGAGAAAATTAATATGGGAAAGAAACTCACGTTCGAGCTGTTTGTCCAAAATTGTTGAAATCAAGATATTGTAGAATGGAGTAAATCACATCTCCATGTGAAATAGCAGCCATATCGTCAATACAGTAGCTCTGATTTGGTTCCCAAATGTCAAAATAAGTGAAAGGTTAGTAAATAATGTCATCCACACCAAAAAAGAATTCAAAATCAAATCGCCGACAACCAAAAAATGCATGTAAAATGATCACATCCACCAAAAAATATACCATAACATCTGCATTGCAAGCTAGCTAGAAGCCTACAATGTTTTTTTAAGAGAAGCTAGAAGCCTAGAATTAAACTAAAACAAATAAGATTTGTGTGAATTTACTCTCTAGCATCGAAGCGTTTTATACTGCATTCACAACAAGAGTTTAGCTTACCAACCACATCTTGCATTAAAACCAGTAGGATTTGGCGAATCCTAAAAATATGTAAAAAAAAAATTTAACTTTTAGGAAAGTATGAATTCAATAACTAATGTAGATAAATATGATGAATACGGTTCAGATCTAGACATGCATCGTATTAGGAAAGGTAATTAAGAAAGAAAACTCATAATTAATTTTCTACATAAAATAGAGCAAAAATTTCTAAATAAAAAAAGAGAGAAGAGAAATGGTTCACTTCTTAAACTCTCTGAGCTTGATGCCTGCCTCAATTTACTCTTAAGCTCGAATTATCACTCACTGCATGAATGAAATTGCTTGGCAGAGGCCTGAATTTATAGGAGAGGGCGAAGGGAGAGGGTATCATGGCCATTGGCGAACATACGTTTGTTTGGGTTACATGTAGCAGGGATTATGTGGTCATTTTCGTTGAGCACTCAGTGGGCTATCAACCACCAGACTCAGGAGGGGGGTTTGTAAGACACGCTCTCCAAAAGGGTAAATGGCAAAAGTTTATGGTGAAAGCGTTCTCACAATCATCTCATGCACTCTTCTAGTATAACCAATAGATTAAATGTTTAATCTGTACTAAATATAATTCTCTCTCTCTCTCTCTCTCTTTATTTTTTATTGTTTTATTTTTTTTATGACATCATACAAATTCTTTTGGGAAAAGGATCCTCTCCGGATCCACTTTGTAGGGATTTTAGGGATTCTCACATTCTAGCAGTTCATCGTACATCGTACGGCCAGTTTTCGTCAGATACTATTTGTGTTTAATTTTAAATAAAAAAATCAAATGATTTCTAATTACACGATATACGATGAACGGTTAAAATGTAAAAATTCTTAGGACCCTTACAAAGTAAATCCGGATGGGATCCAATTCTAATTTGTTCAATTGAAAATAAACTCATATATTATAATATAGTCATCGAATATTTAGAATATAGTGAAAAACGTTCTAATAAGTGAAGTCATAACATAGATTTTTGTTTAATAATTTTAAAAGTGAATTATCAATTAGATGAATATTACGAGTGATAATTTTTATGATCTTAAGAAATTCCTATTAAAAAAGATCTTAATAAATTCTTGCACTCCATATTTTTTAATATATAACACATAGTTAATTATGCAAAATATTTACATTTGAATGTTAGTAAATATGTAAATTTTACATTTTAGTGTTATTGTTAGGTCTCTCATGAAGTTCACGATTAAGTAGCGCGTGAAGGGACCAAGTTCAAACAATTTTTAAGAATACAACATAAATACGCAAGTAACATTTACAAAGACATGGGAAAACACTTGAGAGTCGAGATCGTGAACAAGTAAGCAAGCCAATTCAAGTTCGTAGTTAGTTGTTGGGCTGGTATTGACATAAAAAAAAAAAAAAAAAAAAAATCACAGTTGAGTTGGGCTAACGTACATTAAAAAGATAAACATCGGTTAAATTATTGGTAATTAACTTTTATTGGGCCGATATTGAATGTAGTTTTTCAATGGTCAGGTACGAGTTGTAGCTTTTCAACCGGGCGAGATGTCTGATTAGTTATGTGGCTTCATACTTTATCTCGAGTTAGCCTGCCCTTGGGCTTGTCACGATGAAGAGTTGGCTCCATTCTTAACACAGTCGGATTAGTTTTTCGATCTCTTTTCTTGGCGAGTATTCTTTTTTCTATAGCTCAAACTTAGCCAATTTGTAATCTATTCTATATTTTCTTTTCTTGAAAATTGAATTTTTCACTAACTGATGTCATCAAAATAGCTCAGTTTCAAAGCATTTTTAATTTCAACGTTGTCTTATTTTTTAGGCCTAAAACTGCTTATTTATCAAGGAAAAAAATTGAATTTCTTTATTGGAATCAAATTCAACATTATATTCTAATTAAGTAATTCGACACATATTATGTCACATCCCGGCCCGGGGCGGACCACTTCCCGGGCCCGCTCCACCACCATAGCACAATATTGTCCGCTTTGGGCTTACCAGTCCCTCACGGTTTTGTTTTTGGGAACTCACGAGCAACTTCCCAGTGGGTCATCCATCATGGGATTGCTCTAGCCCCCTTCTCGCTTAACTTCGGAGTACCCATGGAACCCGAAGCCAGTGAGCTCCCAAAAGGCCTCGTGTTAGGTAAGGATGAGAATATACATTGAAGGATCACTCCCCTGGGCGATGTGGGATGTCACAATCCACCCCCCTTAGGGGCCCGAAGTCCTCGTCGGCACACCACGGCCAGGGTTAGGCTCTGATACCAAATTGTCACATCCCGGCCCGGGGCGGATCACTTCCCGAGCCCACTCCACCACCGTAGCACGATATTGTCCGCTTTGGGCTTACCATTCCCTCACGGTTTTGTTTTTGGGAACTCACGAGCAACTTCCCAGTGGGTCACCCATCCTGGGAATGCTCTAGCCCCCTTCTCGCTTAATTTCGGAGTTCCCATGGAACCCGAAGCCAGTGAGCTCCCAAAAGGCCTCGTGCTAGGTAAGGATGGAAATATACATTTAAGGATCACTCCCCTGGGCGATGTGGGATGTCACAATCCACCCCCCTTAGGGGCCCGACGTCCTCGTCGGCACACTCACGACCAGGGTTAGGCTCTGATACCAAATTGTCATATCCCGGCCCGGGATGGATCACTTCCCGGGCCCGCTCCACCACCGTAGCACGATATTGTCCGCTTTGGGCTTACCATTCCCTCACGGTTTTGTTTTTGGGCACTCACAAGCAACTTCCCAGTGGGTTACCCATCATGGAATTGCTCTAGCCCCCTTCTCGCTTAACTTCGGAGTTCCCATGGAACCCGAAGCCAGTGAGCTCCCAAAAGGCCTCGTGCTAGGTAAGGATGGGAATATACATTTAAGGATCACTCCCCTGAACGATGTGGAATGTCACATATTACATAAGTTACAAATTAAATAACAATTAACCAACTAAGCTTATTGTATATGTAAAATATTATTTTACCCATAATAACCCTTGATGTTGCTTTAATAAAAAAAAAATGATGAAACAAAAAATAAGGAAAAACAAATTAATAGAGTTCAAACTAGTTTCTGTGAGTCCAACCGCAGTGAAATACTCTATTTTATCTTCTTTTGAGGTAAAAATTTGACTCCTTTTAATGTTACATTCCACATCGTCTAGGGGAGTGGATCATGGAAACCTTATATGTATATTCTTATCTCTACCTAGCACGAGACCTTTTGGAAACTCACTGGCTTCGGGTTCCATCTTAACTTCGAACTTAAGCGAGTTCGCGCGAGAGTTATCTCAAGATGGGTGACCCATTGGGAAGTTCTCATGTGAGTTCTCAAAAACAAAATATTGGAAAGTTCTCATGTGAGTTCCCAAAAACAAAACCGTGAGGGTGTGGTCGGGATCCAAAACAGACAATATCGTGTTACGGTGAAGTCAATTCTGGGATGTGATGGGGGCCCCGGCTGGGATGTAACATTTAACATGAAACTGCTAATGCTTTTTTTTATTTTTTTGCTTTGCCAATAAAACGCTTAAAAGCTAATACGTTACCTGCAGGTCAAGAATTTGTCATTCTAAAAGCTTATATTAGTGTGACCGCAAAACGCCCCGCGTAGACACTGTTACGGAAGGAAAAATTGAACTGCCTTAGCGCGTGAAGCCCCTTAATTTGGCCTTGTGTTCAGCTACCACAAAGGTAACACCATGTCACTAATTAGGTTCAAATTAGTAGCAAATTGCAAGTTGTGCCACTAATTAAGAACTCCAGATCGTGTTCATAAAATGCATGGCCATGTGTGTTACAGTCATTTATGTGAAAAGTTGTGTGGAAAAAAGGGACCAATCTTCTTTATCTTTGCAACATTTGACTTGTAGAAAAGGAGGAGTGGAGACAATACCCTTTAACGGAAAGGTAAATACTGCTTTAAACAAAATAAAAAGAAAAGAAAAGGTAATTAATTACTTTTTATGTTTTAAGAAAAGTACGATATTCATTGATACGTCTTTTGAATTTATGTGTTTAATGTTACTTATTCATTTGGATACGATCTTTAATCACAGTTTCTAGCTTAATAAAATGCATCATTGATGAACATATTCAATAGGTTTTCCAATTATGTTCTCTATTCATTAGTTCAAAAGTTCAGATTGAGTTGTACTGTTTAATTTCGCTTCTCGTGTTCTTGTTATAGGCGATTTTAAGTTGACAAGAGTTTTATCTTTATAGATATGTCGTGTTACATCAGCTTGTCACTGTATGATCATTATTGATAGCCCTTGTCATATCGGATGGTTTGTCCATGGTGAAGAAAGTTGAAATTTCACCGTAAATTTAATTGGTAATACGAGGATTAGCCAAACATATTATAAGCCCTTGAAAGACTTCTCCTTTAAACAACGTGGGACTTTTTTACCTTCACATTATTTCTCTCTTCAATGATGTGAGACTTTTTTACCTTCACATTATTTCTCCTTTCAACGATGTGAGACTTTTTTACCTTCACATCTTCAGACGCCCATTGTGTGTGATGAATTTCCAAGCCAAATACGTGGGCAACGCGAATTGGATGATGTGAAATACGTGAGGCGTTGGCCTTCACATGTGGGTCAACTTTCTCAGTTACTATGAAGAAAGTTGATGTTCCACCTTATAACCAATTGACAATATGAGGAGTAGCCCAACCTGTTATAAGCC